ACCCTTGCTAGTGATCTACACCTGGCATAAGCACAAACTTACCACCACCAGATTGTGGGTCTACCATTTTTGGTAAGTAAGTAACATCGGCTGGTGATCCACTCTATCCCTTCCCGCATATCCTTGCATAATCACATACCGTTGTTAGACTTGCGGGACATCAAAGTGCTTTGGTTTAACTGTAGAGTTGAAGAAAGAATGGTAGCAGTGAAACAACAACACAAGAAACGATATGGACATTGGAAGCCGAGTGAGCTTGACGAATAAGAAATATGTACAACGATGAAATAGCACGAACAATATGTCTGAGAGATTGATAGAATTGTTAAGAAGTTCTAGGAGACAGACCGTGCCTATATAGAAAGCACTGGCGTGATGTGATAGAACTAGGATCGATAGGCGGCTGAGCTTCCCAATCGAATGACCCGGGTAACCTGGTAGTCGTACCGCTGAACAGAACCTGCTAATACGTATGCCGAATGGCAGCAACATCGGACATCTCTTGCACGTTTGAAAACGACGCATACACATCTACCGCACGATCAAGACCAATCGCCGCGCCCACCTGGTCGATGAACTTCTCCTTTAACTTTTCTTCGGTAAGTGGATTCTGAATACTGCCCTTGGCATATTCGACGTGCTTTGTAATGTTGTACCGTCCTTGAACGTCAAAGTAACGTATGCTTTGGACGGGAATACGCCTTCATCTTCAGTTGCAGTGACCTTGTTACGTAAACTTATTACGGTCGAGTCTTTGACGACAGCATCGGTGAATTGAGTAGGTCTTGCTTCTCCGTAAACCAGACCTACTGCTGCGGCGTGGTAGATGCTAAACTTGCCCTCGAGTCCAGTTTGTGGCTCTTTCTTTCCGGTTAGGATGAGAACTTCGGGGTTGACGCGCAATTGTACGGGGTCGATGTCTTTGATTGAAAGACTTTGTGATAGTGTCTCATTGCGGAGGTAGATGGCAGCATCAATGGTTGGATGCATGACGATTCAACAAGGGTAGGGTTTGAAGGGGTTCTTTTCGATTTCTCAGGTCTTTCCCAGCTGATCGAAATACGCCGTTGCATTTTCCCGCGTGCTGACAACATGAAGCCATCCATACTTGGCTTCAAGGGCTTTGAGAGAAGAAGTGTAGCCATTCCTTGCAAGCAGCGCAGCTAGAATACCGCCTTGTGCGGCGCGGCCAACATGAAGAGATTTGGTGTCCGAGCCAAAATACACTTGCATTCCCACCGCTTGGGTAGCGGTAATTCCGATAGCGTGTTGCATATACGTGGTGTTCAATCCGAGAAGCTTGCTTACGCCGACGGCTGCGCCAACGGACCCTGTTGTGGAAGTAATGTGTCATCCCACATCGTAGTGCTCGGGCGAGACAGACAACCCCAACTTATGTACATTCCGCCTCTACACCAGCCACAAATGCAGTAATGAAGTCATGGCCAGTGACAGGCCCATGCGCTTCGGCTACTGCTAAGAGAGCACTTGCAACGGGCCCGGCAGGATAGATGATCGTTTCAAGATGCGTATCATCGTAATCATCGACATGGCTGGCGATGCCATTTATCAGCGCTGCAGTTTGGGCATCTCCTAAAACCCCTGAGGCGGAATCGTTCGCGCCTAGAATCGAAGATGTTGGTAGCCCTGAGAACGCAGAGAGTGTCGTGTTGAGTGCAATCTGCGGTACAGCCTGGAAAGGAAAGCCGCCGATTGCGCATCCAGCCCAGTTGAAGAAGGATTTGTTATCAGCTGCAAGTAAACTGCTTGTGAGACTGCTATACGTCAGATCGGTAGCCCAGGATGCAAATTGTAGTGTAGCCATGATGGATATCAGGGTAACAAGGCAATGCCACCGCTGTGTGGAAGCCTATGTGTATTTATACTGTGTCTTTTTCTGTGCTAGTGACGAAAATCTCGTCACTGCAGATATCGAGTGCCGATATGGGTAGAGTTTCACAACATGGGGTTGATGCTGAATCGTGATTTGATCTCGATCAAGGATTGATTCGCAAAGAAGTGGGGAAACTTACGTTGTAGAGTTTAGCTAGTGATGAATAGGGTACAGGCGGTGTTTGTCGATCGCCAGAGAGTTGTCAAGAAGAGGGCGGGGTTGGTGTTAGCTTCGGACTTTTTTCCGACTTGCAGCGGACTAAGTGGTAATCTAGCAGAGTCAAAAAGAAACTGTCAGAATCCCGCACAGTTGGTATTCGAGTTGAAATCTCGAGAAGAAAAAGATGATTGAAGAAATAATATACATGACATTCCTAAAGAAATTCCGTCTTACAAACTGAAAAAGAGGAAGTGGAATCTGGCGTGCCACTTGATGGAGACGATCCCGCAGAATTCGGGGTACTGCCTGACCGACATGATGAAGAAGTATCCGAACCGCTCTTGAATGGGCAAGGACTAGGGTTCAGTAACTCGGCTTCAAGCCTATCTGCCACTTTCCAGCTATCCCAGGGTCCTTCTCTTCTTCGGTGACCGCGCAAGAGAGTGAGAATGCGCTGAGCCAAGGCAGGGTCTTCACAAGACAACCCAACGAAATACAGGGCAGGGATACTATCACTGTCCAACGTGAACATAGGCCGGCCTAGCCATGAGGCCTCGATGCTGTATAGGAGCTCTGCCAAGTCAACTAGCTCACGTTGGAGCCTCGCTAGCTCCCCGGCTTCGTCGTCAGCTTTGATGGGCATGATGACTTCCCATACAGCGCGGCGAAGCATCAAGGTCAGTGTCTCCCTTTGTACGTCTATCGGGACATATGTATTGTCGACCTGAGATGCGACGAGAAGGTTGAACTTAGTCTTCCATCGCTCGAACGGCTCAATGAGTTCATTCATATTGTCGGGCATGCAGCAGTCTTTGTCAGGTATTCCATCTGATTCATGATCGGGACATTCGATGTAGGTCATTCTCACATCTAGATCCCACATGGCGTCCTTGGCTTCCGCGAGGCTGGCAAATGGTTGCATTCTGTCATCAAGTTCCACCAGAGGCGCCACATATGGTAGCATATTCGGGACGTCGAAGTCGTCGTCGAGGTAAGATACGTCGACGCAAAAGTGAAGCAATACGGTTGCAATTTCTTGGATTAGTTGTTGAAAATTGGGTGGAACACTCGACAAGTCGAAGGTTTCGAGGAGGCGAGCGCCGGCTTGCATGTGACGCATTCCTTCGTCGGTGCGGCCGAAGATGTTCTCCAGGCAGACAAACAGTAGGCAGCAGGTGAGAATCTTGAGCTGCGAATCCCAGAGTGTTGAATTGTTGGTGTTGTTGAGTGTTACCAGTTGCCCAATAGCATTGTTATAATACTGTGTTGCGACACACTCATAATGGGTCATGGATGTGTCCGTGCCTCCCGAGAAAGGGTTTGAGAGCTTTTGTAGGTAAACGTAGTGGGCTGCACCGAGCGCAACAACTGCGTTTCGCACAGCGGGCTCGTCATGACACATGGGGAGCACCCGCTGGGACCAGAAATCTTTGGGGTTGGCGAAACGGACGAAGTCGACCATGGTAATGGAGCGAAAGTGGTGGAAAAACATGCGGTCATACACACTGCCGTCGATTTCGAGGTTCAGTCTATTGCCTGGAATTTGAAAACGTGGCTGTGACTGCTTAACGACGGCTTGAATCATTTCGGGAGTGGCCTGGATGGTTCTCTTCTTCGCCTTCGCAGACACAACCTTCTGCAAAGGCGATTTCTTCTTCTCGGCTGGTATAGGTGCATATCCATCACACTTGACCTGACTGTCTCTACATCGACGGCAGGTTGGTTTCTCTTCGTCGCATTTTTTCCTGCGGATTCTAGAGGTGAAGACGAGTCTTGTCAGCATGACTTGAGCCTAATAGGCGGAGTAATACAAGATACTCCACTCTTCTCGTATTTGCCTGAAGAGCAGTGGCCATGTGGCGAGGGAGGTGAAGGTATGATCATGTACATATGAGGAATGTACACCTTTCTGTGTATGATACTGAAGCACACTTACTTGCTGTCACAAAGCGTTAACAAAAATTTCATAGCAGTTGTTGTCAAAGTATCGTTCAAAGATAAGCAGGAGCCCTCGCAAAGTTCGGGCTGCGAGCTAGTTCACGATGTCTGGCGCAGATCGCTGGTGAATGGGTAATGGGGTCAGGATGGAGGAAAGGATAAGTGATGAATACGAGCAACCATTCTGTATTTCGAGTCTTGAAGAACTTACCATGTAATACATCCAGTGCGAACTTTGGGTGAGAATGCGCGCACTCGAGGAGCCTTGGAGCGGACTGGCAGTCCCAAAAGGCTGTCATTGGTTGTCGCGTATAGCGGACGGGTCAGATTGTCGATGTACATCGTAGAAGCTCGGCCGTTGTGAGAGACTTGACTAAGGCGGTGCAGGTCTTGTAGGAGCCACGATCATAAGAATCATCAAGAGTCGTAGGGTGTCGCCAGGAAAACGTGGAAGGGGGGGCGCAGTTCCGTTATGGGCCGGTAGCTCGGCTTAATTCGGCAGTATTTTCGAGGCTGTCATTGGCCAGCGCGTATAGACAGAGTGCATTTACTCTAACCCGGGTAATTCGACCAATCAGAACATTCTTCCTATTTTAAGCTTCCGCACGTTGCCACAAGGACAGTCGCAAATCAGCGTCAGCCTGGCGTTAAGCGAGTCCTCGTTTACCAAATAGAGTACATTGGAGATAGCCAAATGCGACTTAGCGCAACATCACCAGTTATACGCTGGGCGGGGAGGTCTGTGTATTCGCAGAGAGGGTGACGAACTGTCTACGCACACCATGAATTAGAAAGAAATGAATAATAGAGTATCTATGTTGGCTTGTTATTGCGCGAAAAAGAAGAATATAAAATAGTATCACTTGAACTGTTGACACAGCCACCATCCTCAGCCACCAGTACTTTCCATACATGTCAACCGTTTACTCTCACTCAGCCAGTCCATAAAGATCTTACTACCTGCATACGGACAAACTTAAAACATAAAGCTTAGTTTAGCTTGAGTAAGATGCGTCTCGAAGCACTTCTTACTCTCTTGAGTCTCTGTGAGCACCCAGACCTCCGACAGCACTTTTTCACACGTGATATGCATCATGCTAAGACGGTCTAGCCCTTGCGCCCTTGGCCCATGCCAGAGTGCTTCCACGCGATCCTTCATGCCACGCATCTGCATCAACGGCCACTAGTCTCAAAGCCGATATCCGAGCTGACACTGACCGCGATGGCCTCGTCGACCTCTCAGGCACCTCGGACTCTGAAGGCAAAACCACGTGGACTGCCGACTTTGGTGCCATCTTCCTCCCCAACATAGGAGACACGGACAAGCGCTGCTCCAAAGCTCTGCTCAAAGGCCCTGCCGTGAGCAATGAGAAGCTCGACCGCTGCAACGATGCGTCTGACAACACACTGCGTTCCGAGCAGTTCCTTGCTCCGCTCCGTACAGTCCCCATGCCCGGCCTTCCCAATGGCGCTTCTGGTCGCGTCTATGTAAAGGACCAAGTACAGCGCAGCAACGTCCGCATCTTCCACCAGGCCAGCTGTAACGGCACTTGGACATATATTGACGGAAACTCTACCTTTAGCACAGCCGCACTCCGCAAGGGTCTTGTCCTCGGTATTGATGGCCGGGACGTCCGTCGCCCAAATGGTTGGGATGGTCGAGCCCTTGTAACCTTCGATGTCAAGAGTTTCAATGGCACTTCGTCCGACAGCGTCATGTTACGCGTTGCCCCCGTTCTTACTCATACACACCTCGACCCTGTGCAACAGGTCATTGGTGTCAAAGGCAATGATACTGGCACCCCATATCTCAACCGCTTCAACCAGCAACTCCAGGCCGCCGTCAACCAATCTGGCCTGGACGAGGACCTCTACCTCTTCACTGGAAGCGATGACATCTGGGCTCAGGACTTTTTGGAACCTGGATTCGCTTCTATGCCTGGTCCTGATGGGCCCATCAGCTTGCGCATTATGATCCGAAGCCCGCAGGACGAGCGTGTTGCCGGCCGACAGTTGTTCGAGTACTACCGAGACACTGGCATCGGCGCCGTTCAGCAGCTTGGCGGATCACGTGACGAGATCAACTCCGGCGGTAATATCGAGACCATTCCTCCATACGAATTCAACGGTACTTCCTGGCCTGCTGGACGTTTGATCCTCGGCAATCATGGCAAACAGAGCCACGCTATGCTACCGTTTTTCCGGGCCCAAGAAACCCAAGACCCTCTTCTTCTCGATGCCGACTGGCTATTCGCCGGCCATGTCGACGAGTTCGTCCAATTCTTGCCCGCTGATTCGGAGCGCGGTTGGGTTATGGTGGTTGATGATCCCCTTGCGGGTGTCAAGATGCTCCAGCAAATCAAGGCTAGCGGACATGGCTCACAGCGGCTCTTCTCTCGAAACAACGACACGATTCCAGCAAACCCCTGCAACGACTTTGGTTGCCAGCCCATCCCTGTAGAGTCTACCACTATCAACAAGATACTCGCCAACAAGGACCTCATCTCCATGCAGGAGCAATGCGCCAAGCGCATTGAGGCTAACGTGCAAATCCTCAAGCAAGCTACCGGCATCACCGATGAAGAGATTATCCGCCTTCCTTCCTTGTTCAAGCGCATCAACTTCGATTTTAATTTCCCTGGCGACAACTCTACGACCAACGGGACCGACTCTAACAATAACTCGAACGACAGCCCTGTCACCAACGGACCTGATGTACTCAAAGCTGGCGCCATGATCCCCGGCATCGTCAACGGCCTCGTCATGACCGGCTTCGACACATACATCGCCCCTAGCCCCTGGGGTCCTATCATCAACGGCACAGATTTCTATGCCCAGACGATCAAGTCACTCTACGCCCGTGTCGGCATAGACGTCATCTTCGTTGACAACTGGAACTCACACCACAACTACAACGGAGAGATTCACTGCGGAACCAACTCTGTTCGCGACATGGATGTGGACTGGTATGGAGGCGACGTCAGTGGAGACGATGACTTTAATGGGGACAGCGGAAATGACAACTATACCATCAATGCAGCTGGTGCCTACAACGGAACCTATGACAACGGTCCCGACGATGCCGACGATGCTGATGACACCGACAATGGAGACAACGCGGACGACGGAGACTGTGGAGATGATGGATATGAGTCAGGCAACGGAAACTTTACTCTCTCGTAGAGTAGGTACGATATCATGTCACGATAAGTGTACCTCATGTTCGATGTCCAAGTAACGATGGCTTCTTTTTTTTGTATCTCCTTTTGTTCTCATCTCCTTCTTTTTTCATCTCCTTCTATTTGCACATCCTTTCGATTCATCCAATAGACTAAATTCCACCCCATACATATCACTTCATGTAGCTCAAATTCCAATGACAAGTTTCTTGCCTCATCATGATATCTTCTCCCACACTTTTGTCATGTACACTCCTTGTGACCAAGAAGAAAAAGCATCTTACGCGACTTAGCTCGCAGACGATAAACGAGTGGAGTCAGTATCGAGCCATGAATCTTATAATGGTAGATATGACTGACTCTCCTTTTCCTTACACCTTCTGGTGGATAGCTGGACGGACGAGAATCTGGGGTTAGAGAAAACTACTAGATGAGCTGGAAACTTTTGAATGGGATGATTGATATACTATACACGAAGTCCTCATTTGCAAGATCGAGAGTTCGCATCTCCTCCCCTTCCCCCATATCCAAAAACTAAATGTAACTCTGAGATTACGAAAATTGATTCTGAAGACCGTTTCTGTATTTAAATCAAATTTGCTTTAAACTTTTGAAATGTAGGAAGGGGTTTTAAGCTTCAGTGCCGAAGAAGCTTTCTTAATCTTTCTCCTTGTTTGACCACTGCACAGAATTATGAGCTTAAATCACTGTATCTAGCCAGGATGGAGAAAACCATATAGTCAGTATAATCATTATTATAGATGAGATCCTCATATTTTGCTCAGATTCAGACGATAGTTTCTGCCCCAGGTTTACTAACAGCCTGGTGCGCCGGCACGATATTAGGGATTTCAAGCACGCAGTTGATTGACTGGTCTCTCTGATCCCTTTCGCATACCGATTTCGAGGAGTAAAGTTTCACTACATCGCTACCAAATGTTGTACCTTACTCCAAAGAATAGGACTCCATGGATATTTCATTTTTCATACCATAATTCTTCGACGGGTCTCGCTGAAGCTCTCAGGTTTCTGTGCACGTTTCTCATTCAGATCCTTTTACCGTAACTGCAAAGTCTTTTTTTCTAAATACCCGATTCAGGCACGTCGGGATGTGGCCTGCCGTTCTTTTCTGGGATGATTGATCTAGTACGCTATATAGCAATCTGAGATATCGAATCAAGCCGTACAGCAGATAGGTAGGCACAAGTCAAGTCATAGTTACTCGAACTGGTTTCTATCCGTGCTCTGAATATGACTTGACGCTCCATGTATTCATTGGATGTCGAACAGCGAGAGACAAAAAACAGAATCCGTGTATATCATACCATATGATCATATTGCACGTTATATAGTCCTCCGGGTAGGAGTAGTTCCTATTGGCGGATAGCTACTACTCAGTATGTAAGGGTACCTTGCGCGTATCTCAGGATTAACACGATGAAGCTTTCTTGTCATAAGATTAATTGACAGATTATTGCATACGAGTCAGAATACATGTCACAACACATTAACATCGCCTGTCTTCATACCTAGTCTGCTTTTTTTTTAAGTATTTTTCTCAAGATTATACTTATACTTTGAATCAAAAACACCAAAGTATTCCAACTTTTTTGTTTTTTGTTTTTCACAGAAAAAGAGAATTGATTCGATACATTACACGCTAAACAGACATGCTCAATCTTAGTACCAATTAACAATCAACATGAAAAGAAACACTGTCATTCTAATCATTGCCACATTTCCAACTCATTACTTATGCTCGTATCCAGACACACTTTCCTCTTGCACTTATGCAATAGCAAAGACTTTTGAAGGAGTAATGTCAAACTCTAAAGGAGGAGACACAAATTGGTTGTACACCGTCTCATTAGAGCCAGTGAAGTTATACGAGGGACGTCTACCACACATTAGTACCACACATCTTCTTCTTCTTTCTTCCACAAAATCGGATAAGAAAGCCCCAATTTTTAAGAACCAAAGGGAAAAAAGAAGAAAAAGAAGAAAAAGAAAAAAAACTTACCCAGTAGGTTCATACCCCTTCCAAACAAAACTCACAAAAATCTCCTTGGGCACCGGCTCCTCCCCCACCCGCTCCCCCAACTTGGCCGCAACCGTATTATTCGCCTGGGACAAAAACTCGCCAGGAGCAAGCTCCAGGAGCTTGCACTCTTCAAACCAATTCCCTTTACGGTACCACCCGTTTTCGTAGCCGTTGCAGTAGTACTTGCCGCCGCCAATGGCGGCGCGCACGCTGGGGATGGTGACGTTGAAGTTGTAGTAGCAGCCGCGGCGCTGGCACCCGGCTTCCCAGCCGCTGACGTGCCAGGTCCAGTTTGCGGGGATGTCGGTGGCGCGGGGGTCGAGGGTCGGGGTGATGGGGGTGGCTAGGGTGGCTGCGGCGAGGGTGAGGAGGGTGGTGAAGGAGACCATTGTGGATGATGGGATGGAATGGAGGATATTATGATTAAGAATATTACACTGGTTGCGGATGGGATGGATGGTTGGATATCCAGGTCATTATGCGGCAAGTTCCCTTGGCTTTTTAATATTGCAGCTTCCTTGTGCAATAACCACCGGGAAGCGGAGCCAGTGCGGAGGTGGCAATATACTTGGACATGATAACTTTTGATCGACTACTTTAAGCGAAAGATCACCATATGCCTACATGCATGGAGTGCTGTCTTGGACTAGCGATTCCATTGGTGGATTGTGGATACAATATGTATTGAATGGACCAAATCCGGCCGAACTTTACTATATTGTGCCAATCGCTCCACTTTTTTGCAAGGTCCCATGAGCACTTATACGACTATTGAAAAGATCAAAAAAATATTGCGTTAAATCTAATCATCATAGTATCTACATGGTTGCATATCTACAAGGTTCTATAGTTTTGGAAACATGGAGAGAAGTTGAGAAACTGCAGAGACTGGAAGTTTCCATGGACCCGCTCCATCGCATAGTCAGGTTTGGCGACCGATTTCCGTTCCTTCCCGGATCCTTCAAACAAATCAAGCTACCTTGCTCTGGGGAAGAGGGTACTGTTGCCAGATAGTAGGGTAGACGTCAAACTCCTCATCGACGGCGACAAACGCGTTGTACGTCCAGTCAGTCGTGATTGCGGTAAAGTTGTATGGGTTCCTAAAATCCACCCGTATTAGTAAAATGTATGTGACGACGAAGAAACAGGGACTAGAAAGAAAAGGCTGTGGCTAAACTTACGTCTGGTCGGCTGCGGAACCTGGCTTCAAGAAGCTAACATAAAGTTGCTTGGGAGGCTCGGAGTTGATCCTCCTGCCCAGCTTGGCGGCAGCGGTAGCGGCATTGTCATCTCCAACAATGCTGCAGTCTTCGAAAGTGTTTTCATTGCCAAACTCGCCATTCTCGGTGCCGCTGCAGGAGTACTTGCCGCCTTGTGGGTAGGCTTCGGTTGCGGGAACTGAGAGGTTGAATCGGTAGTAGCAGCCGCTGCGCACACAGCCGGCTTCGAAGTCTTCGACGTGCCAGGCCCAAGGGTTGGGGTAGCCTGCGGGCAGAACCTGCTTTGGCGGGGACTGCGTGTCGGCAGGGGCAGGGGCAGCGAGAGCGCCGGCAGCGAGGGTGAGGAGGGTGGTGAAAGAGACCATTGTGTCTGAGAGGGAGAGATTAGGATGTCGAGTGGTTGGATATTAGGATTATCAGTGTGAGTTGCGAAATGTGAGGCTCGTTGGGTAGTGAAGTTGAATTTGCGCGGCACAAACTTGTTTATATACACTCTCGACTTTCCTCTCTCGCACAGTCCCCCATGTAGTGGAGCCGCCTCGATGATGGCCGCCGGTTGAAGAGGAATCCCCGTTTCTAGGAATTGGAACGACCCGACTATCCGAAAGCAGCTGCCGCACACGATGCAGCCGTCCTGGGATCTGCGGCTATTGAAAACCGTTCAATTCCCATTTCGAGACTCTGCAGTCCAAGGTGGTAATTTTGTCCGAAGATCCCATAAGTTTGGTGGTGAAGTTGGCTGTCGAGACCCTGTCGAGGACGTCATTTGAACGATTAGGGGTGGCGCAAATACGAGGCTGGGCGCTTGGGCCAATGAGCGGTGGAGGAAATGCGGCATCTCGGAGAAATTTACGCTTTGGCCCCGCGACTATGTGCTCATGCTCTGGCCGTTTGTTCCTATTTTTAGCCCTCTCACGGCATGTCAGATGAGCAATGAATGCTACGTCGGTTGAGCGATATACTTTAATGATGCCACCGCACTCCCCTAGCCGTGAAACAACAACTATCCAGAATACAGAAACGAAGGTGAGCATTCTACCAGGAACGACCCTCTGTAAATACGAAAAAAAAGCCATGAATAGAACAAAGTACCTGCGCCAGTCTCCCAAACGGTCCGTCTTCTTTGGTACTACATCTATCGGCACATCATTGTATACACTATACGCCACACATCTCCCGTCCGCTATACCGCCGATCCTCGTGTAACCTATATTGCTTGTGTCCTTATCGAGGTGGTCTATTAATCCCAGCACACCTTCAGAGCTACAACACATTAGCAAAATGATCAATCCAGTCTGGTTACCGGGAAGAATTCATCAACTTACCACATGGGAACGGAAAGTACATGTCCTGATTTTCCGTCAAATAAGCATGGTATTGGTACTTTTCTTCCACACCCTCTGGCTCCATCTTCTTAGCAACCTTGTGAATCTTGCCCTGCGGTCCCAGCGCAGGTCGCAGGTTCTTCAGCCTAGCTACCTCCTTGACCATGGTTGTAAGCGTTACACGTGTCATTGGGAGACCCAGGCACTGGTGTGGACCGTGACCAAGGTGAATGTACGAATCCAGAGGACGCGTAAGATCAACTGCATCCGGGTTGGGGAAAGCAGAGGGGTCATGCGAGGCAGCACGCAGGTTGACAAAAACGGAATCGCCAGGCTTGAGGTTGGTTGTTTTGCCATCTTCAGTGAGCGAAACTTCCTTTGCTACGGCGCGAATAATGCCTGTTTCGCCGTTCAGTCGACCGCCTTCCATCGTGTAATGCATCAGCGTCTTGAAGGCTTCTTCACTGTCGTCTAGTGCGAGCTTTTGAATTGCCGGCCAGTGTTCCTTGCCCTCGCCGATCAGGTAGTATTCCAAAGTTTGGGCCAAGAGCTGGCCTTGGTTTGCAACCATGCCACCTGCAGTTCCTAGTATATGGCCCCAAACGAGCTGCTTGGGGTCCATGCCGCTATCAAGGAGGCGTCTGATCATGTGCTTTCCATAACTCTTGAGCGCGCTTTCTTGGGGCCAGATGGCTTGCATAATGCTGGACAAAATGCCACTTTTTGCAATTGCTTTGACGTTTGCCTCCACGATACTGCCGAGGAGTTGAGTTGCTTTGCGCGCCTTGACGTGCAGGGGAAACGAGGACGCAGGATCAGCGTCAAAGAAGATGAGAGCAAATACGGATGACATGATGAGGTAGAGTTCGGCCTCCGTGAAGATGCCGTTCGGCTGCTCTTCCGTCTTGAGAGGCAGCATGAAAAGCTCCGAGCAAAAGTGGACGTGTGCTAGGTTTCCAATATCCCGGACAATGTCGACCTGGTTGAAGTCGGCGATCTTCGCACTCTTTTTACTCAACAGCTCACGGGTTTTGCGTGTGTAATAATTGCGCACTTCCTTGTCCCATTCGGAGATGTACATAGCTTTGCTCATCATTTGGCGAGAAGCTATGTTCTTAGGTCCGTCGCCAGCCAGCATAAAGTCTGCAGATGCAGGACCCATGATGTATTCCATGGGCTTTCCCCAGAGCACTTTGAAGGTCTCTTGATCCTTCGTGATCTGAGTAGCTAGCTTGTACTCTTTGAAGAAATGTGGGTGATGTGTCTGTACTGGCTTCGAAAAGTCGTAAAGATTGTCCTTCTTCAAATCTTTCAGAGCGACCTCCATAGCTGAAGGTATGGTAAGTGGATAGTGTACATAGACGCTGTTGTATTTGAAATGTTTGGGAAAGGCGCGCAGGAAGAGTTTGTAAAACACGCATCCGTTGTCGATTGCGGTATCGCTATCGGCCTGGCGGTAGCCCCAGTTTGTGAGGGTGCGTGGGTTGTAGTCATGTGTGTAGAACCTGTCACCACGAACCAGTGCTACTGCGTCAGATAATACGGCACGAGATACGGTGTATGGAGGGCAGAGACCGGATCCAGGAGCCATGGGCTGTTTGGCATCTTCCACGACGATGCCCGGGTAGATCTCGACCTTGTCAGGATGATCGTAGAGGTGCTTGAGCTGTTCCTGAGCATACTTGTCCGACGTGATGTCTTCAAAAGTGTTGTGTGGCTCAAGCTTGAAGTATTTCCTGAACTCGTTGAGCGAACCCAGATTCCAGGCACGTGCCTGCTCAATACCGAGTACCTCAATGGCACGGAATACGGCAGGGACTCTGTTCGGTCCGAAGGAATTGGCACAGTCCTCGATACTAGAGGTCAGAATATCTACCAGACCTTGATCAGGCAATGTTCCGTCCTTGTTGCGCTCAAGGCCAGCAAATTTACGCTTCGCGGGATCGGGGTCGGTCCTCTTGTACACTTCGTTCAAGCGTCCCAAGAACTCGTATTTGTTAACAGTCTTGGGGTCGCGTCCTTCGCCGAAAAGACCATCCCACATTTCTTGCGTCCATTTTTCGTCACGGTCAGAGACGGTGGAGTGCCATCGGTACACGAGGTTGAACTCAGCTGAAACCTGGTTTCCGACACCCATGGGCAAATTTGGAATGTCAGCGCGTGGGTTCAGTTGCCAGTTGCTGTCTGTGCGGTTAAGGTCCAGGATGGTACGGACGTAATCGATGAGAATAATGTTGACGTATAGACCGCAGGTGATCAAGCGACCAGTCTGGAACAGGTCATTGTCGTACTTTTTCCATGCTGCATCGTACTTTTCCTTTGTCACCTTGTCTACTTCCACATCGCCAGTGGATTTTGGTGCCTCAGCAGATGGTTTGGTGAAGCGGCCTTGCTCGTTGATGTCTGCCAGGTTTTCGACAGTGTAGTTATGGAAACGATTAAACATGATCAGCAGTGCGCCAACGCCGGGGGGAAAGAAGAGCAGTCTCGACTCGGAAAAGCAATCAGGCTTGATCTTTCCATCCTTGTGTGTCCTCATCCTGTCTTGCTCGGTTTGGTTACTACCATACAAAGGCGCGAGATCTAGGTATGACGACGTCATTGAGACGGAATAATCTGCGTGATCAGTGCGGAAACAGTCGTGGATGATGATGGAAGCGAGGTAGAAGAGCATGCTTGATATCCTGTTGGGGTGCAGCTCCGCGTGCTTTCTTGTCATGAGGCTGTCAAAGACGACGCCGGGATCCGGGCGTGCAGGAGTCTGCATAGCAGATGGCTTCACTGTTCTCGCATACGGAGTTCCGGCTTTACCGATTTGAGGGTTCATAAGACTGTTGTTGGATCCATCTGCAGACCTGTACTGATACTGTGCACCGAGGTATGATTGCGGGGGGTGTTGCAAGTCGTTCCATAACTGTTCGAGGAACTTGTTGGTGACGGCGTCTCTTGTCTTGGAGCCATCAGGCAACGCAGCAGCCGTTCGAATGAGACCCTCCATAAGGTAAGTCTTATCATCGGTATAACCACCCAGCATCTTTTCCTTCTGGATGTCAATTAATGATTTGATGTCCTGGATTCCGAGGTGAGACATGTCTCGGAGGCTACCCTCAATCTTCGAGTAAATGGAAGCCTTCTCTTCGGGTGCGATTTTGGAGCCATCGCCAGTTTGATCAGGAACTGGGGCTTTGACGGCTCCAATTAGAGACGCAACAGTACTGAATGAGGTACCAATGGTGTTGCGTAGGTTGGTGAGTTCGGATGGATCGGCAGGTTTGGGGGGCTCGACGCCTGTGCGGGTGTCGACATGAGCATCCCAAGCTGCCTTGGCCTCTTCTGTGGCGTTGGACATGTTTTTACTACGTCTGGTTAGAGACTATGAGAGCTGTAATGGTGCTGTGTTCTGGCACAAGGAAGCCAGGTGTTGTGCTTGTAGAATTGTGGTACAGGTGTCTTTCATGTGCGGATAGTGGGGGCGGAACGCTAAAAAAGGAAAACAACAGGTAGTAGTAAAGGAATCAAAAAAAAAGCTGGAGGGTGAGAAACAACTCGGCTACTAAAGGTACATACGTGTTATAAATAGCGTCGAGGCCGACAAAGATGGCAGCACGACCAGCCGTCGACTCTCAAGCCCGGAAAGCTAACAATATATACTGTACTAGGCAACTTGCCCAACCAAGCGGGTAGGTATGTAGTAGCTGCGATACTAGCAGCAAAAGAAAAGCAAGCGTGGGAGGAAAGATACGCTCGCAGATAAAGCGGAAAAGGCTTGGAGGGTTAATTGATAGTGAGTGCAATGCACTTCGCCCCGTTCCTTCTTATACATGGACAAAAAGCCATGCGGAGTCGTGCTTGCTGATAGCAGTAGTTGTCCCGCCCCCATGGCTACGGCTGATGAATCTACTGTGTACGTATGGTATGTAGGTGCTCCACTGGCTACCGTCGAAGCGGCGGTCGCCTTCAGCTGCCAACTGTAGGTCAAGGCTGCAAGCTGAGCTATGCATGGCGCCCGCGGCCTCTCCGCATCCTGCAGACGATGAAGATGGCCAATGGAGAGGGCGGCATTGGCAGTTCGGCAGATGGATGGGCTTCGACTGGGCTAGGCTGATGCGACCCTGGGGCTGACTTTGACCGCCCCCAATGTGGTGCTGCCGCCCTGCTTGCACGGATGCGGCGTGCACTCCCGGAAACGCTTTGCCCAACTAGAAACTAGCGTGATGGGATGTGCTCTGGCTCAATCAAACCACACTGATTGGTTGGGCTGGACGTGCACTGCCCCGCTGACATGGGATGAAAAGAGATGGAGCAACTCCAAGTCTCTACTAATCATCTTCGATTCCCGACCCCAAGGTATCGTTATCGAGTCAAGCAGGTAAGAATAACAAGCACGCGCATACGGTGAAAACTCGATGATTATACTCTCTCCATGTGAAACGATATATCCGATCTGATATGTTATTTGTACTGCGAGCACAAGTGAAGATATTGGATTCTACGTCCATAACCTGATATTTCAAAAAGACACATTTCGTCTTCTATTAGATCAAACATGAAGGCATAAAAGTGCTACTCGAGCAGCGACAGTAGATGACTCAACCTACAATTAGGTTTGGCATTAAAAAAAAGACAACATTCCCTCATTACCCCGTATCCGGTCAGGCAGCATTGCACGAATCCAGCCTAGGAAGGCGTCACAGTAGATTTATCGACATCAAGTACACATCCGACTACGTCATACATATTACCCCGTACACTCCTCTCTAACCTCTCTACCGCTACCAACAGCGCCACCACCATCCCAAACCCAAGCATTATAACACAGTTCAGTCGTACGTACACACACACACAACCTCAATCACGCCAACCTTAAACCAGCATCGCTTCATACTTTTCTCCCCTTCCATTCACAAGGGGGGCCAAGTATCGTTCGTACTTACTTCCTGCTGTCCCGCTGCGCCTCCTTCCCAAACGAGAGATATCCAGCCAAACCCATGACGCGAGCTCACCACCCCTCATGCATCCAATCCCTCAGCCTTGTCGTCCAACGTCCAAAATTTCGGTGTCTGCCTTGTTTCGCTAGGCAAAAAATAAAATAAAATAAAATAGGCAACCAGACTTAATTTTCGTCTTCTTTTCTTAGTGTTCACCCATATTCCTTCTACGTTCAGCGTCGATGCCTTGTCGCCTGATTTCCTTGCCTCGGCTTGGCCTTTTTGTCGCTCGGGGCCGACTTCTCGATTTGGCCCCCTCCCGCTAGTAAAGATGATTTGTACTTATGATAGTCAAAGAGGCAGACGTATACGTATATAGTAGCAATGTGATGGGTCGAGGGCCCGGTTCGCTGGATGCAGTGCTAGGGGGTAAAAAGACAGCAAAAGATAGCCAAACAGAGGCTCAATCACAAAGCCCTTTTTCGGCCACAGCGATGCTTATACGCCAATCAAATTGAACAATGAATAAACCGTTCGTCAAGGCAGAATGTTACACGAGACAAGCCGTTTTTTTGTTGTGTACCGGATTGAAGGGATGAGGGTTTCAATACTAGTTACCACCACTACTATTAGAGAAATGGAGAAGCCCAAACTACTAAAATCTTCCATGGAATTAGGCATCAGCCTCGGCCATGGGGACTCTGGACACCTGAATGCAAGCAGCCAGCTGAAACCAGCAGGAAAACAACCTCCCCCGTATTGCCGGTCCTCCCGCTTGGCTCAGGATCCACCGTGTAAGCAGCCCAATCAATGATGCATTCTGCATTTCCACACACAAGTCTATGAGTACATATGCTGTGTAAAGATGTTTGCAAAAAAGCGTTGGCACCAGCCATGATTGGACCACCACCTCTGACCATCCGAGGTCGCGTGACACAAGCCATTTACCAGATGCCCGGCAGAATGGCGTACCTCTTGCGCTTGTACTTGTCGCCAAATTCCTTGCGATACCTCTTCTCCTTCTTCCATGCCCACACACCCATCTGCCCAACAGCAATGACAATGAAGAGCAGCGTGGAAAGGCTACGATTGATCAGGGCCACGCCGAGCCACGCCATCGACTCAAACATGTAGTTGGGGCATGTTACCAAGTTGAAGCCCAAGCCCTGAGGGATACCGCGTTCGGTGCTGCCGGGACGACGCAGGTTCTTCAGCGTGACGTGTGTACTGTAGTTGCACACCTCGCCAATGGCAAACAAGGCGACGCCCAGGTATGTGAGAATAGGATTTGGGCGTCCTGCCGCGGGGCTGTTTGGACCATAGCTCCAGTAAGCCAGGTTCAAGCCAGAAAGGAGCCAGTAGTGGCCGCTGTTCTTCACAATGTTCATGGCGGGCATGGTAGCCGACGAGAAGCGGTGCACAAAAAGCGTCTCAAACTCGCGCTTAGCAAAGTGGAAGACGCACATGGCCAGGGTGAGTGTCTGGAGCTGCGACGGGGGCGCAGAGGTGCCGTAGATCAGAGGGCGGCCAAAGTAGATGAGCGGATGGATGAGGAGGGGTCCGAGGTATTCGACGATGAAGACGGTTCGCCATGATATCTGTGGTCCTGAAATAAGGTAAGCCATGAGCATGCTGTGACAAAGTGCGTTGCGTACCCAAGTCCTTGACATCGACGGCGCTCTTGTTCCTCAAGCCGGTGTCGTACACCTTGACATCCTTGGTGTTTGGTATTGGGGACCCATCGCTGCCCTTTGTGACGCGTAGGCGGTGGATCGAGAAGCGCGAGGCTTTTGCAATTTCCTCAAAGATCTGAGCGGTTGAGGCATCGGCGCTGACGGTAATCGTCTCGGGAAGGTTTTTGATCGGTCGGCCTAGCGAGGGGTTAATCCGGCTGCTATTGGAGAAGCGGGGAACAGCAGAGAGAAGGGGCGTTGGGCTGTTGCAGGGAATTGCCCTTACCTCGGGGGCGCACAACAATGGTGAGCGGTGATGCGGACATTGTGATGTGCAGAGGCAGGTGTCTGTGTCGAGGGTGGGACTTTTGACTATCTGTTTAGGTTGAGGTGCCTCGGCCCACCGGGGAAGCTAGGCGGACAGGAGCATAGCGAGCACGCATCGACTTCCACACACTCAACCACGAGTCGAGGAAAACCAGCCATTTGGCCAACACAACTAATCATAGAATACTGAATTGACACTCTTGAGTACCGAGGTTCTTCATGAACGGTATGTTTGTCTTCGCACCTCGCTGTTGCCGTTGAGCATGTGATTGCTTGCTGACAATGGGAGAAGAGAAGCGGACAAGACCTCACATGCGCTGACAGGAAGGTCTTATGCCTCCAGTTCATCCAGTCACAGTTCATGTCCTGTCTCCCTCTTTCTCTCTACTCCCGCAGCTGGACCACAATCTGCCATGCAACCTCGGGGCCCATGCAAGCCACCATCTCACCAACCATGCCTCGAATCGAATGAGGATCCCGCAAATCACTACTGTCCCATGATACAAGATCCTGCAAGTTGGTTAGTGCCATCTAGTCAACCACTGCCTGTCGTATGTGGCATACCTGAAGCTCTACCAGTCTGTTACCCGCGCGAAACGGCATTGTAGCCAGATCAATCTTCTCTTCAATCTCTTCGGCCGTCATCACCCCTGGCATCTTGAGATCGAAAAGCGACATACCGCTCATCCACGCGTCTGCAGCCTCGGTAGGCGAGAGTAAGGGATAGTCTGAATAGTCGTCTTGTTCTGCAGTGTCTGCGCCTTCCGTCTGGTCTGCCCCAGACTCTTGTTCCTTTTGTCTCCGCCGCTCCCTCGCCAAGGACACGTACTTTTTCTTGTCGAGCAGGCTACGCAGTTCACCATCTAATGGGTGCCACTCATACGACTCTGGGTCGAGAACGTGTTGTGGCTTGTAGTCGCCTTTGTACTTCATCTTGGTGCACGTGTGGATATAGTAGCCCATGTAGTAGTACTCGTAGCCGCCCTCAAGCGCGAGTGCGGCTTCACGGAGGGCACTCAATTTGCCAAACTGCCATTCGGCAAAGTCGGAATGATATAGCATGTACACACCACTGACGCAATGGGGAAGCAGGTCCAGCACGCCCATTGCAATTAGTCGGCCATCGAGGCGGTAGCACTGATGGAAGGAGCCCAAGAGCTGCTCTTTGCCATCGACAGTGCGTGAGGATTGCTGTAGTGGAGAATCACAGAGGAACCTTCTGAAGCCTGACTGTGAGATCTGGTTGAGGGGTTCTTTGTGTACAGTTTGTTGATAGTTTTTGAACAAGTCATACTTCTCGGGCGTGAAGACTGCCGGTTCAAGTGTCACGTCGAAGCGATGGGCGGGTTCAGGCGGTTGTTTGACATTCTGCAGCTCTGACCTGTGCACCTCTCGGACAAGGTCAAACGTGTTCTTTAGCCGAGCCTTTTCTCTGTCCATCATTAGCCTAGGCGCGGGATGGGTCATGTGGAGTGCACCGACTGTTTGGACAACGGGTAGAGCCTAGAAGCCTCTTTGATGTACCACTCGCCTAGCACATGGTCGTTCCAATGATTGACCGCTTTCCGCTGGTCTTTGGAGGGCTTGAATGAGGCAACGGGCAGACTTTGTGTCGGGTCAGCATTGTTGGGTTTGTGGACAGGATCAATCAATGCTTACCGGATTGTGTAATGGGGGCAGCAGTGGCGAAGGACGTCTGGCTTGTAGAAAAGAGTGCCGGATCTACAAGGGCGCGTCAGCAGCTATTGTAATCAAGGCATAGTGAGGTGGGCTGTCACCTCCTCCAGCCGCGGTCGACGAGTAGTTGGTAGACTTCAACGGTCAAGCGTTTGGAGAGAAAGTAGAAGCTGGCGCCTGATTGGCTGCGTTAGTTGGGGGTCGAAGCTCATCCCGGCTTCTCCCGCTCGGGACTGGGATGGCCCGTGGGTGTGGTTGCAGGCGGGGGGGTTTTGCGAGGAGGGGCCGATGGGTTGGAGAGCAGAAATGTAGGCAGGGCGAGTGCAAAGGGTGGATGGATGGATGGACGCACTTGGCGTGGCTACGATGTGTATGTGTGGTATACGTCGGTAGATGGTGGTAGTGGGTGTAGTAGGGCGAGGGAGATGGGCTGGGCAGGGGGAAAATATCCAACCAAGGGAGCAGAATTGCTTGCAGTGCGGGGGCCCTGCACGTGCAGCTGTGCAACCTTAACGGGACATCAAGTGCAGGCGACGACTGTGGACACGGGATGGGGGTGGGGGGAAGGGAGGGGAAGGGCAGGACGCACGAGAATTGGCAGCGTCTTTGCAGTATCCACACTCATCGCTGCTGCGGTAGCCTGCACAGCGAGGATTAGCGGGTCGTGTGGATGAGAGCGAGGGAGGAGGAGGAGGAGGAGACAGGGAGCGGAGCGGCGGCGCGAGGGCGGGCGAGGCCCAGGAACCAGCCAGACAGGCACGGGGCGGAGGGCAGCAGAGTGGTTGGAGCACGACATACCGGCGGGCGTTGCGCTCGACTGCATGAGGGCAGCATAAGCGTCGTGGACGGTGGTGGGGGTGGTGCCAGTCGAGGAGGATGGGGACAGTGGCGGCGCAGGGTTGAGGAGGAAAAAAAGGGAGAGAGGGAGAGAAAGCAAGTGCGTGTATGTGTGGGATATTGTTTGTGTGCATATGTATGTATGTATGTATGGATGTATGTCAGTGTGTACATGTATTATCTGCTACTAGTAGCACAGCGGCACTGGCAGCTTGACATACACGAGGCCCGTCTGGCGTCTTCTAGTGGGCGTCGGCCGCAGGCAGCCAAAACGGCGGGCGAGGCACCTCCTCGTACGTCATGGCGGTGCATTCGCCCATCCTGCCAGCTGCCTCGCTGTCGGCCTGGTGGTGTGTGTAGTGTAGTGTAGTGTAGTGTAGTGTAGTGTAGTGTAGTAGTGTAGTGTATGCAGCACTACGCCCACACAGCGTACACAATGACTACTTACCCGCCTCTCTGTCTGGCTGCTCAATCTGCCCACCCCCTTGTGGGCTGGCGACATGGTGCACTGCCCAGGGCTGCCCCCGGACCAAGCTCTCTGCTCATGCTCTGCTCTCCTGCAGGCCTGCAGGCCCGGCCTTGGCAACAGCCGTGACGCTTCCGCCAGTCCTTAGTTTCGCACGCAAAAAAGTCCCTGACCCGAACCACCTACTAAAACATCCCCATCCACCATGCCGTCCCTCTCTGCTGCCCGCAGGCTCCTTCACCTTCCTCAGCCCCGTCACCCGCGGGACTGAGCCTCGCTCAGCCCACACAGCCCACAAGACTGCCACTGCCACTGCCACTGCCATTCGCCTTCCCACCACACCCCCCCCTTTTTTGACCAAGCTTGAGTCCCCCCATCCGCTCCCCGTCCCGCCGCCCGCCACGCTCGCTGCTTGCTCGGCTTCATTTCACACCGCCTAGCGACCCTCTGCTCCTCCCACGGCGCTCCTCCAACTCGTCGTGCGCTCCTGTCGCGTCCCACTGAGTCGCATCCACGCCCTGCCGTTCGCCACTCTCCCTCTCCCTCTCTCCCTCTGCATTGTCCTTCGAGCTGTCGCGACATGGCCGCTACCCAACAGCTGCCGATGCAGTCACGCACAGGACGTCTCAACCAGCGTAAGTCTGCTCACGCGACCCCACACGCGCTTGCCCTCCGCAACCCCCCCAGTCCAAACCTGCTAGTCTTTTGCCGCTTCTCTCTGTCTGCAGCTGGCTGATTGGTCCTAGGCTACGGCTCCCAAGGCGAGCGCCTAGTCGCCGGTGTGGTGCCGCTCTCCGCCGACAAGTACTACGTCCTACTTATTCAGTCGACCAAACGCAACGGCTGGGTCCTCCCCAAAGGCGGCTGGGAGACGGACGAAGCAACCGCCCAAGACGCTGCCAAACGCGAAGCCTGGGAAGAAGCGGGCATAATATGCAAAATCAACTACGACCTTGGCCTCATCCCCGAGAAGCGCAGGCCCGACCAGCTCACCTCGCAGGCCCCAAAGGCCTCGTACCATTTCTTTGAAGCCACGGTCGAGAAGCAGGAAGCCCAATGGCCCGAGCAGCACAAGCGGAATCGGAATTGGTTCAGTTATAGCCAGGCCCGCCAGGCCTTAGCCGAACGCCCGGAACTCCTCGACGCCCTCGACCGATGTACCATGCACAGAACATAGATTTGCCCCATCTGCTGCACCTTCTCCTTGTCCTCTCCATTCACCCCCTTCCTCTAATATTGCATCAACACGGGATTTTCAAAAGTTTCGGGGGTTACTATAGACATCTGACACTATCTTGTTTGCTTCTGCACATGGCGTTGTGGTAGCTCTTCGTCAGGTAGAATGATGCATTGACCGCTCTCTTGTAGCAAAGAGTTGCCGGGCCACACCAGGCTCACAATAACGCACTTTGGCATCGCCAGGTACTGCTCCTCTCAGCTTATTTTCGGTGCCGTTTTGTTCGTCCACTAAAACGCTATTAAGAGCAACGTTGCATGGTTGGGTAGTTGACCACTTTGCTAAGACAGGTGACTGGCATTGAGCACACACATCTGCCTCTGTTGCTTGCTTGCACCCAACACCGTGATGGATGAATCCAGTCTGTCAAAACGCAGTCCTTCCAGTCTTGACCGTCTTCAGTATCCCCTCGTCAGCCAGCTTCTCAATCATATTGTACAGGACAAAATCACAGCCCCTCTTGACTACCATGTTAATCGTGACAGGCACCATCTCTTTATGAAACGTGACATTGCTCTGGTATGGCACCTGACCAATAGGAACCGTGAAATCCGCACACCCAAAAATGGGACAGATACTCGCGCCCGTCACGGCAGCGCCCTCGGGCCGAACAGCCAGATAGGATGCGTCCGGCGACTCGTTAAGCAAGCGCTCGCGGAACGAAGGCAGCCCACCCGTGCCGATATCATACAGCATGACCGACTCGGAGCATGACTCGGCTGTGCTATACTGGAACTCGTCCTCGTACCACGCTACTGCCTGCCTCTTGGTCTCGAGAGCTGCATCATAGCTCGCTTGGTTCGTCACGCTCTCGTTGAAGCCTATCCATCCGGGTCGTCGTGCAGGATCAATTGGCGGGAAACGGCCCTCAAACATGTCTTTCCACGCTGTAATCAAGGGCTTGCCGACAACCAGCCATGAGCTCCATGAGTTGATTGTGTTCGTTGCTTGGTTCATGACGGTAAAATTACTCGCAATCGGATTTGTGGCATTTTGGATAGTAGCAGTAAAGTTTACCTTCTTGACACGCATATCGAACACGCGTGCCATGTCTTCGATGAACTTTTCCAGGATCGGTTCGGCAGCCGAGTTGTTCAGTGGCAGGTATTCAGTGGGATAGATGATTGTTTTAGGGAATGTATCCGTGTCCGGCACAACGAGGGGTGAGAGACCGGTAGTGGATGTGTCTTGGTACAAATGAGGAGCATACCATGCTTTGGCAAATTTGACCCATTTGTGAGGATCGCGACTGAAGACACCTGCCGTGTCCGTTGCAGCACCAAGAGGAATAACGCGTTCGAGGGACATGAGACCTTGGCTGGGACGTTGACTATTGTGTGCCTTTTAGTTTCGACAATCGGGCAAAACCAAATCATGATATCGGAGTAGAAGAGACATACCCGTACACACCAGCCACTGCAGCCGGTCTTCGCATAGAAGACCCTGTATCACTGCCCACAGCATAATCCAACCATTCATACGCCGCGACTGCACATCCGCCTCCAGACGACGAAGCCGAGCAAGTCAACCACCCATCGCCTCTAGGGTTGAAGGGATACTGTTCGTCCTGCCACTCCCACGGATTCGCCCCGGACGCAAATTGAGCTAGTTTCTGCTTTCCAACCACCACGCCCCCTAGATTGAGAATCTGTTGCACCGAAGGCGCGGTGCCATTTGCTACCGGTGTAATGAATGACCATGCATGGCTGCCCGCGCTTGTTTGCAGCCCTTTGATGTCGTAGAGATCTTTGATAGCCACGCGGGATCCAGCCAAGGGACGAGGGTCGTCCCATGAGTAGATCCTGGAGGGAACACTGTGCGAAGCTCTTAGTAAAAGTTCTCTGCGCCCAATCACGAGACAGCTAAGTACTGGATAACTGACGGTATCAATGGATCTTGAAATTTCGGCGAGAACATGCCAACGGGGTAGTGTGTATTTTCACCGTCATTAGCGCCATATGCTCCGAACAGAAACGTCTTGTATGTATCGGGGTATAAGCGATAAACAGTGGCAAAGCTTATCGAGCTCCCGTCGACAGAGGCGAGGTAAGGTCCTGCTGGGAGGTCGACGGAAGATTCCAGCTCTACCTGGTTGATCGTCGTGTTTGCAGTCACCAAGGGATCCAGGACGAGCAAGCTGCTGTTGAAGGAAGCAATGTACTCAACAGCAGAGGCGTCAAGGGATGACTGCACCCGTGACAAAATGTACAACCCGCCTAGGAAGTCATGGCTGAACACATCATCGCCTTCGAGGTACGCGGAGACGATGCTTTCCAACGTATCCTTTGTGATGAGCGTCGCATTCGTCTTGACCAAGGCAATAGGGATCGAAGTCGCTCGGTCAGATGTGACTGTAGTACAGCGTACACTTGCCTTGGGGTGCTTTGTATCTGCCAAGTACGAAACATCTCCGAGCGCAAAGACGGTATGGCCAACAGTATCGCTCAAAACAACGCTGTGCGGGTTTCTCTGGATGTTACTAGGGGTAGCTATCACAGACCTTGCTGCAAGCAATGCGATTACCAGAATAGAGCGGGCCGCCATAGTCGTCCTAGCGAATGTAGGTCAGATTATCTGAACGACTTTGCCATTATGCGTTTTTATACCCACCCCCCGCAGTGAATAAAAGTGGGTCGATATAGGCATGGGAGATAACAGCCGTCCTAGATATGGCGGGAGAGAGAGAGAGCCATTCAAGGGTACAGCGTCGCCAAAGCCCCAACCTTTCCTTTCTGGCGATGATGCATGACTTGGCGGATGCAGGCCTGGCGAATCGCAATTCCAAGGCTAGGAGGATGGGAGTGGACTTGCTGTTGCCAGAACGCGACTACGTTGGTAAGATGCGAAACTGATGCAGAGTTTCCCAATATCCATTCGTATCTACATCATTTATATTCCCCACGTTTGTGATATTGTGCTTCAGCCATGTTATCTCAAGCGACCTTGCATACAGCATAGTTGATCAGCCAACAACAATGCGACTTCACGTGATATTCAGAAATCAGAGGTAACGACGAGTTTGGCAGAGCTGGAGGCTGACATTCTAGTAGTGCGATAGATGAAGAGTAAATGCGCATTGCGCTTGGTTACATCCAATGACCCTTTATACAAGTCATCCCAAGCTCGTGTCAGCATGGCTCCGACCCTAATGCTCACTCTTTATATGCGCTTCGGCGCATAGTTGCTGACACAACATTCACATACACCTGCGGTCTGCTTAAAACTTGAATCCCTGTTTTAAGTTCCGTTGTAGTAGTCCGCCGAGTCCTGGTGTGGGGCACTCTTGTCGAACGTACATTTTAACCTAATTAGCGTCATCCTAACTTGACATGTACATTTGCGCACATCACCGTCGCTAGTATAACTCCCATATTGGTCGCAACAGCTGATGTTCAAGACGGCACAAAATATCTTATTCAAGTTTTGGCTGCAGTGATAGGTGCAGGTTCCGGCTTATACGGGAGCACAAGTAGCCCTCGCTTACCTATTCTAACGCAGGTTGGTAAATCTATGACAGTGACACTCAAAACAACCAATAACCTGTAGTACGTTAGTGTTTAAAACTCGCGAAACTGGTTATGATGCTCCGGAACACGGACAAAGTCGACTTCCGTAGACTTCCGGCTCGGCCAGTTGAGTCCGCAACATCGAGAATGATTTGTGATAATGCTCACAGGGTCGGTTTCTCAATAATAACAACACGGGCTAAGTAGTATTATAAAATGATATCTTCATGTCTAATTGGCAAACATTCAAGAATCTCTATTCATTGATTCAACGATCATCTCACTCCTTGATACACAATCTTTGTTTACTAAGAACTTTTATCTAGTACATACATATCAAAATGGGCATCGTAGCAGTCGCGGGAGGAACTGGCCAGCTTGGTCGCACAATCGTTGAAGAAATACTCAATCGCGGGGGCCAGGAAGTGATCATTCTTGGTCGAAAGGCAATACCACTGATGCGGTACTACATTACGAAGGCTAACAAAAACCGGCAGAAAGATGATGCTAAGGCCAAGGAAATCGGCACCCGCATAGTCGCCATAGATTACAACAACACCAGCTCCATCGTCAGCACACTTGAAGAGAACAAGGTCGAAACCGTAATTGCAGTATTGAACTTGATGGGCGGCATCGAGCCTGAACTAGCCTTGATTTCTGCTGCGGATCAATCGAAAACAACAAAGCGCTATATTCCCAGCTGTTGGGGAGTGAAATGTTCGCCTGAGTAGGTCATTGAACTACATGAATGCTAGAGTGAGCGTTAAGTACTGAACTAACCTTCGCAAGAATTGCCGCGATTTCCCCTCTGGACGCCGCCAAGCTTGCCCTCTTGCATGCTGTCGAGGCCACCTCTCTCGACTCCACATCGGTGATTAACGGCATGTTCATGGATTACTATGCTCCTCCGGGTATAAAGACACATTTCCCACCTCTCGCTTTCGTTCTCGACATGGCCAACAACGTGGCCGCCATCCCAGGCTCAGGTGACGTGCCCGTGGTTTTTACCTACACCTTTGACGTTGGCCGCATGGCTGCTGCTCTGTTGACTCTACCGAAGTGGAGCAAGTTTTACTACATCATCGGCGATAGAGCAACGTGGAATCAAGTTATCCAAATGGCAGAGGAAACTAAAGCTGTCAAGTTTGACGTTAAACATGATTCGGTGGAGATGCTGAAGAAGGGTCAGGTCACTGAGCTCCCTTCTCATATACACTTGTATCCATTCTTCCCTAAAGAACAGTTGCAGGGTGCCCTCTCGTCATTGGGAGTATTGTTTGATAATGGAGGCTTCGATCTGAAGCCGGCAAAGGGGGAAAGCCTGAACGAGATCTTCCCAGAGGTCAAGTTGACATCAATGAAGGATATAATTGGAGCTTGGAAGGGAAAATAAATCTAGCCAATGTGGTGTGGGATTTCTTGACAGGAATGTAGGTAGGAATGTGGTGATCCTTTTACAATCCATACCAATCGGCACGAAAACAAGCCCTACTGACATCTAAACCCCATCCAAACATCATTATTTTGCGTCGCCAGAACCATAGAAATTGACAGTGAGCTCTGCCTGGGTCTCCAATGGAGACACTTCGCCTTCTACTCGACCCCCAAGAAAAGAAACTCATTTTTTTGCGTAAGTTTCCCGTTCGAGACATTCGTACTCTTAGCCAGATATCCTCTACTCCACTACAGCTCGACTGGGAGAGCGTGGACCACGTTTCTGCCGCGTAAATAGCGTATACCTTGGGCTGATCATTCATCGTACAGAGCGTTCTCTGATAGGCCCTCGTACAGCGCGTCCTTTGATAGGTCAGAACTAGGGTGACCAAGTGTGCATAGGCTTGGCCAGTAAACTACGTACACTAGCGAAACATGCTCGGAAGTCTTTCGGCCCATCGATAATTAGCTACGGCACCGGCATCTTGAGCGAGAGAATTCCAACTCTAACCTGCGTCTAATTTTGATCGGAATGCTGCATCGAATTGCCGACACACCTATGCGTGAAGCACGATCGAACAGCGAAGTAATCAAGATGACAAAGTTGCAATGTTGTACTGCCTGAACGACCAAGCAACGAAAAAGGGACACTGTGAACCGTTGCCTTACTTGCCATAGTTACCGACACAGGTTTTGTATATGCGGGAATATGCTAAAGATGATAATCTGGCACTTCTTCGGGTGATCTAGGTGTATCATCCATTCCTGAGTATCCTAACCTGTGTTACTCCCTTACTAGTAGCCCATATTCATGTTTGGCTGTACGCGTCTATGTAAGTGGGAACCCTCGGATAAGAACTTTCCAACGGATTTTCGCAGCATCCGGCTTCCGAGCCTCAATATCGCTCGTTGCATTCACCCAAACAAGGTATAAGATCCTGATATTGTCACTGATTTCTTTCTGCACAACTTCAAACGTACTTGTTTTCTAGTATGGAGCCTCAAATTTCTGCGTTTCCGGCGCACACAATGCGAACATTTGCATTCGCTTATCTGGTGCTTGCAATAATTGCATATATACCCAAACTCATCTATAGAGTGAAATTGGCAAAGTTGCCTATGTTCGATGACAGCACTACTGAGAAGCAGCGGCAATTCTATATGACATCTGCGAAGAATGTCTATGTCAATGGATTTAACAAGGCTAGTACACTCAGCTCTCTACGCACTCAATGGCTCATGAACATCATTTTAAAAACAAGGTCTATCGTATTGCGGCGCTCTACGAAAACGATGTTGTGGTTTTACAACCCAGCATTCTGCCCGAGCTACGAAAACTTGGACAAGATGTTCTGAGCCCTTACAAGATGGCCAAGCAGGTTAGAGTCAATTTTTTACCAACCACCGCTATGATTGCTGACAGTGTACAGACCATGGAGGCGAAGTACACGAAAATCGAGTATAGCCTTACATTCCTTGCTCATTCCGTACAGGCTGATCTTACCCCTGCATTGAGTAAGTCCAGGTTACCCTGATACAACTAAAGCAATTGCTAAATCAAACCAAGCACGCATGAATGATCAAGTCTGTGAGGAGATTGAGGTTTCCATGAATCACTACTTCCCGCGCTGCGAAAACCCAACTCCAATCCAGCTGTACGGGATCCTGGCCAACATCGTCACCCAAGTATCTGGCCGCATCTTCGTCGGACCAGAGATTGACCGGGATCCAACCTACCTTGATTGTGCAGTCAACTACGCACATGAGATTACGCATGTTATCAATGCGGTTAGACGATTGCGTCCCTGGCTACGGCCTATACTTGCTCCCCGACTCCCCGAGAGCCAACGATTACGAGCCATAGAGCGCAAGATGAAAGACTGCGTGGAGCCTATAATTCGTCAAAGACAAGAAGCCGAGAAATCTGACCTTGCGTGGAAGAAGCCAGATGACATGTTGCAGTGGATGCTGGCGCGCTTTGAATCCTCGAACGCCACGGAAACGCTTCATTATGTCACGAAACAGCAGCTATTGCTTACCTTTGCGGCTATTCACACAACCACCATGGTAACTACAAATATACTCTATACACTGGCTGCGACAACGGAGTATGTGCCCGCGCTACGCGAGGAAATCAGTACTGTCCTAGCTGAACATGGCGGGGTGCCGACGCCCAGAGCCCTCCAACAGATGGTCAAGCTAGATTCATACATGAGAGAAGTTAACCGCTGCTATCCACCGGGTCTCAGTACGTTTTCCCATCTGCATCACTTCATCTCAATCTGCTAATATGCGTCCTAGGTGTTTTCTCCCGTAGTGTCCTAAAGCCCATCACCCTCTCCAACGGCCAACAAATCCCCACCGGCGTCTCTGTCGAAGTTCCTTCTTTCCAAGTTCTTCCTAGCTGGGATCCGAACACCGACACCGATGAATTCGACGGCTTCCGGTACTACAAGCAGCGAATCCAAGCGAGCAGACCGGCCGAGCAAGCACGCGCTCAATTCGTTTCCTCGCATGAAGAGAGTCTCGCTTGGGGTTATGGAAGACATGCTTGTCCTGGGCGTTTCTTTGCTGCGAGTGAAATCAAGATGCTACTTATCAAGTTTATTATGGATTATGATATTAGCATGCCTGATGGTCGCAAGGAGAGATATGCGCAGGTTGGAATAGGAAGTCTCTGTTCACCGGATACGAAAAAGGCATTGGTTTTCAAGAGAGTTGTACGTTCGTAGAGTTAGAATTAGTAGATTCTTAGAATGTAAACCATGGATGCAAACAAGAAATAATCTTAGTACAATCTAACGATAGTAGTGTGTAAGTGTTTATTATGCGAGCCCAAGATATCTACTTGGGAGAGACGGCCTATTGCCGTACTCTAGCTACAGTGGGCAAGAATAGAAGATTTAGCACCGGTAGGGCTAGATCGCCATCTAGTCATTCTCGGCACGGTGTTATACTGCATTAACCTCCTCATGCCACCCCTTCCGTCCCCGCTTTCTCTTCATACTACACTCCTCCAACCATATCCTCCCACTCGTCTCTCTCTCCTCAGGCGTAAATCCTCTCTTCTTCGCAAGCAAAAGATGCGTCTGCTCAAGCACCTCGTGCTGAAACCGCAAGAAGAACTCGTTTGAGTCGTCAGGCACCTCGGGCTGTGCTCTCCAAAACGTTATACGTGAGGTGATAGGCTGCGGTATCTCGCTAAGAATGATTTTTAACCACTGCGGTGGAACAAGTTCCGTACCGCCTAGCTCTCGTTCAAGCCAGCTCGCCAGCCTTGTTGCTACTCGATCCACTCTCTGGCGCCACTCCACCTCATCAAGGGTATGACAATCGCGCTGATCGGCGCAAAATGTATACGCCATTTTCTGCCTCAGCATGCGAGACCACGCGTCGAATCTCTTCAACTGGGGGAAATGTTCCTTCAGCGTCCACGCATCGCGGACTATGCGCTCCCACATGAAGAACATGAGTTCTGCATCGCTGGCCGCTGGGGCAGGATAGACAAATTTCGAGGGGACATAAAGAGAATACTCATGGTATACAATCTGAACCCGCGTCACCAGGCGCGCGGGCGCGAGCGGGAATGAGCGTAGTGCGTGCGAGAGTGAGAGCTGATTTGATTGAGACCGCGTCCGGTGCAGTGTGCGTGGAGAAATCTCGACTGGCCGTGTGCGAAAAAGTGCGGATAGGGCTTCTGTGTGGATTTGGCGGTTTGTGAGCAGTAGGTTGAGGTGGGAGGCGAGTGTTCGCCGCGGGCTCCATCGCGTGGCAGCTTTTATGCGGTCGCGATAGTGGATCCCGCGATCGTGGAAGGTGTGACTATAGACCAAATCACGCAATTCGCGGGGGAGGGAAAGAAAGGGAAAGGGAGTATCCGCGAGATCTGTCCGGGGTGTGGGAGATGGCGGGGGGCCGGGTAGCGGGTATGAAAAACCGTTGGATGACTCGATTCGGATGGAGAAAGGCTGTGGGTGAAGGTCATTGCAGTGCGCCATTCCTTTTTTTTCTTTTTCGATTCTCTCTTAGAACTCAGGTTGGAGGAAATAAAGGTGTCAATGTATAGTGTGCCTGGACACACCGTTCTTCGCGGGACTTATCAACGCCGCGCTTTGATGATTGAGTCAAAGACATGTCTGCTATGTAAACCGTGGAGGTGAGAGGGTTAAGTTTCATTACTGGAACTGAGTCACTAAGGGGGGTTTTGATTGGCTGCAGCAGACGCATTCGAGACGCTGCGCCCTCTGCCAGGCCCACTCGCTTTACAGCCGTGGCTGTGCTTCGAAATGCTTACAATCCATTTCGGGCCTATTCGGAGGCTAACAGTCGCGCCGCGATCCCAGCTCGAGAGGGCTGTGTCATACTTATGGTTAATGAACATCCTACACAGTAAGCTATAGTGGCAGCTTTGAGTAAAACCTACCAATGCCTCTGTCATATGTAGATATACTATTCAGCTCCGAATACTGCCGTGCAGTACACTGTACCTTTTCGGGCCTCGTGGCGCAATGGAGCTGAGCTGTCGTCTCACAGTCTCTGTATGCAAATGCGGTGAGCTGCCGGTGGCCTAGCCATGTCGCAGCCGCAGAAGAATAGAGATACAACGCAACAAGTGAAGAGTGGCTTCCGTTGTTCATGTTGGCGGGAAATAGTGAGAGCGAGTGGTTCCTAGCCGTCTTCCGCGCCATGATCACGTGACTGCTTGCTGCACGCGGAGGTGCGGGAAGTTGTTGTGCTGATTGTTTCCGTTATCTTTCATCTGCAGTTCTTTGTGCTGCAAAGCTACTGCCTTTTCTCATCAAGGTAGGTCGTCATTGTTACCGTTGCAGTGGCTTGTTGCTTTAGCTTAGCCGAAGTCATGGCTTCTGCAGCCTTGCTCTCATACAACCGATATAACCGAAAGATCAAAATAAGCAGCAACTACTTAGTACCCAAACTAGCTATCAACAACAACTGATACGCCTATCACAACATACACGTTTGCAATTGATCATCCGTATCTAGTAGAGCTATAGCAGATTAAAAATGGTGTAGGTAGCAATTTGATAAGGTCTCGGATTATCTTGCACTGCTTGAAGAGGCCACTATTCTCCACTCTCTTCGGTTGCATGACAGCCTTGTTAGGCTACGACATCGAATATATCGATTTGTTTGCCATGGAACGACGCCGCAATCCTTCTACTGTGGTATGATCGCAATGGGACCCAATATGATAACACAGGCGAGCAGGCCAATTTCTCGGCAACTCAGACCACTTAAATTCGGATGATTGAACTATTCACTGCGACATCACCACTACACTACTACATCACTGAACGACACCATCAACTGATAGATACATATATTCGAAATTTCTAATGAACTTCCAGCGGATCTTTCAGCTTGGTCTCCGTCGAGCTACGGGACCTAGCTTTAGGTTGCAGCCTACAGGTCATCTAGTCCAGCGGAGGTACGTCATAGCAGCTCAACTGAAGCTCTCCCTCATCCCCATCATATCCTTTGCTAACAAACATCACGTAGGCTTATATCGCAAGAACAAGCCGCCAAAATAATCGCTGAACAACGTATACGACGCCCCGTCTCACTCCACTTATCTATCTACAAACCACAAATCAATTCGGTTACCTCGACCCTGCAACGTATTACAGGCCTTACTCTAGCTGGTTCCCTCTACATCTTCGGCATCGCTTACCTTATCGCTCCTTACACCAGATGGCACATGGACACTACATCCATGGTTGCAGCAGTTGCTGCGTGGCCCACTGTTATCAAGATGGGTGTAAAGGCTTTCGTTGCATTTCCCTTCTTCTTTCACGGGTTCAATGGACTGAGACACTTGACATGGGATGTTGGTATTGGGTTCAAGAACCAGCATGTTATCAGAACGGGCTGGACAGTCATTGGGACGACTGTTGTCGCGTCACTCTACTACACTTTCATGACATAGAAGTGCGGATTGGGTCGACCTCATGCTTCGGAAGAACGCCATCATCAATAGACTAGAATAGATCCTGTCTACGAGGAACCTCGCCTTGTCACACCAAATGTCTTGTCGCATCAGATTGAGGTGGCATCTGATTGCGGTGAAATCACAACGAGACGAAGCTTGCAAGGCGTACTCGATCACTCGCACAGATCTCAATGATCGGTAGAGTATACAAAGCTGTAGACTTTTTCGCAAAAGTATCGAACAAGACTCGGGAATAAGCAAATCAATGAACTCTCTATCCCGCCACAGTGCGGATTTGCAAGTCATGCCGAAGGAAACTCTCTGCAACGTGAGGATATGAAGGAGAAACTGTATCTCATGAGAAATGTTGCCCATGAGATGTCGCCATGAATTCGAAAGTGATTGAGCAGCTTTGCAAGAGCTTCAAAAGCATCGAAACCAGAATGCTGGGTGATAAGATTTGTTCTACACAGAAGCCAGCATTCCCGTAGTGTCATGGCAACCGATATACTCGAAAAACTGCTGTTCAGGCTTGAGGACCATTACTTCATGAAACAATCGCAGTGATATGTTGCTCTGCAACTCTGAAGCGTACTGGAAGAATCGACCAAAGATGTCGAGATGTGTTTTGTGCTGTTTGCTCCAGCCTTCAAGCGACTTGAGATCGTCAAAATATCCAAGGCCAAAGGTGCGTTCAGTGTTCTGCTCGGGCGACGTCTTGTGCATGCATTCCATGAAGCGGTTACTGATGCAGCCGACCTCTTCGCCCTTGTCTCGCAAAAATTCCATGCCTTTGGTGAGCACAGGGTGCATGGTCTCGAGGTAGAGTTTGCGTTCACTCGGATTCGTATTGGACCAGTCTTGGCCACTTCTGATGACAGCGAGGTTCTTTCTGCCTGACACTGTGATGCGCTGCTTTCTCGTGTCGCCTTTCTTGACCTGTTCCGCAGACGGTTTGGGGAAAGCGGGCTCACCAATCAGGTGATCAGTCTGCGCCGCTGCGAGCCTGTCACGCATCGAACCCCAATAGAAGTGTTGTTGCATCTCGCCCGACACTGAGGAGCGCATATAAGCTGCGCCGTCCGGTACTACATTGTCGGAGAAGACAGTCTCGAACCGGTCAAGGGTTGGGAAGAATATTTCCATAAACCAACCTCGTTCCGACTCTGCTCGCAGGTCGGCCCACCATGCATCGAAGCCGCTGTCGCTCCTCCATTCCTCGAAGTCGGCCTTGGTCTGCCAGTATGGAATTACCACTTCATTGCGAAAGCCTCGATTGTCGGTGACTGCCGCGGCTTCCCAGTACTTGGGCTTGGATTTCTCGGACCCCTGCTCAACGATTGAGACCAGCTTTTGGTATGCAGGTCCTTGGGGATCGATGCTGTCTTCGTGCTGAACTCCGATGATGGCCATTACGAGATCCTTCACCTCCTTCGGGAATCTAGCAGTATACGACGCAAAGGGCGGCACGAATCCATCTGGCGTCTTTGCGGGGATGGTGCGTTCGGTTTGTAGGTGCGATGGAATCGCATGGTCCAATGCACGTGCTTCTGCCATGACTGTTTGACTTGGATATTTCCTGGCTACCGCTCGTGCACGCGTTTTATCTGCGTCGGGTTGGAAGCTCTTGGCAAGACGGTCATGACTTCAGCTACAACTCGTTCACTTCCGCGGAACCATTTCCGGCATAACCTTTCTTTCATCGTACTGCGTAGGTAATATAAATAGCTTTCAGCTCTCGTCTCGGATTACGTACCACGGAAAGCGCTGCTATACCCCACGCGATACAAACATTCACGAGCTGAGAACACCACGAGCTGAAAACAGAGTGACTAGATCAAGACCCTGCTCTGTAACAATGGCAATCCTGATTCTTGAAGGGCGTATCGTATCGGCCTCATGACAAATACCAAGTTTGGCATTCAGATATTGGAAACCTCTAATCTGAACAAGTTGCAGAGTAGTAGGGCTGAGGTGGGGCTAACTTTTGTCCGACGTACGTACTACTTACCCCGCTAGGAACGGAATTCGCCCGCAAGCTGATTAGACAGGCCTGCCTGATAGCTTTACATGGCAAACACATACGGGCAGACAGCTAGTGGCATCGTAAATAGACGTCAGCCTAAGGATATTTCGCCACAAGATTTCCTTGTCCATGGAAGAGAAGCGACCTTCTGCAATGGGCGATAAAGTGCATCCAACTGTTCGCGTTGCGGTTAGTTTGTCCGAGTCGTTGAAGTGTAAACGCACTGAATGAAGACAGGTCACGCAGCATGAGCCTCTGTGGCTCGATCTGGAAGGGACAGTTCAAAAGACAATGAACATTATCAAAGAAGCTGCCGAAGCCGAAGCCAAACTCGTTGCCTTCCCAGAATGCTGGATTCCTGGATATCCTGCTTGGATTTGGAGCCGTCCAATCGATTTTGATCTGGGAACGAAATACGTGCAAAACTCCTTGAAGACGGACAGTGAAGAAATGAAGCATATTTGTGCTGCCGCTGCCGAGAACAAGATCAACGTGTCCCTGGGCTTCTCTGAGCGCGACGGCGATTCTGTGTACATCGCGCAAGCTTTGATTAGCGAGTATGGCGAGATCAAGATGACTCGTCGTAAGATGAAACCGACGCACATGGAGCGCACAATATTCGGAGATGCCACAGGCGGGAAGTCGTGCCTAGCCAAGGTCGTTGATTTACCTGGAGTCGGCCGGGTAGGCGGGCTCTCGTGCTGGGAGCATATTCAAACTTTGTTGAAGTATTACACCTTCACACAAGGTGAGCAGATGCACGTAGGAGCATGGCCAGCCGTCAGTGGGTTTGTAGAAGGTAGTCCTGGACTCTACTCCATGTCTACAGAAGGTGAGTAGTAGCATTCAATTTTCCAAGTGAGCTATAGAGCTGATGGTGATCGTAGGCTGCCGCAATATCTCGCAGTCCTATGCAATCGAGTCTCAAGCCTTTGTACTTCACTGTACCACTGTCATCTCCGAAGCTGCCATCCAGATGATGGGAACGGCCGGTTCACCAATCATGGGACATCCTAACCAAGGAAGTTCTTGCATCATCGGCCCTGATGGGCGCATCCTGAGCAAGACCGATAACCCTAATGAGAAGCTCGTTATTGCAGACCTCGATCTGAGCTTGGTGACGAAGGCCAAGACATTTGTAGATGCATCAGGGCATTATAGCAGGCCAGACCTTATGTGGCTTGGAGTCGATGAAACACACAAGCCTGTTGTTCGTGGAGCATAGAGTGGTTAGTTACATCTCGAATCAGATATACTTTCATTCTTGTCTCACGGATGCCGGATCCTTTACAGGAAACAAAGAAATAAGAGCTCAGCACTTACCATAACTACGCCTCTTCAATTCAAAGACAATCCCACTTGCCATCGAGCAAACCATAGTTTTCTTCGTGATCCGTGCAACGAGAGTATTCTAGGTGGCCAGGACGGTTACTTGATTCGCCAAATCCGTCACAGCTTATGACTTTGCCATCAGTTCATCATTGATCCCGAGAAGCTGCACTGGAATTAACAGCATGTCCAAATGTACTATCTATAACTTACACAGATATTTTCGCGTCGCCTTCTGCTTATGATTCACATGACTGATGGTCAACCTGCCATGAACCCTCTTGAATAGCATAAGAATCCATTGCGTTCAGAGAGAACGAGAAAGAGTGCTTTGGAAACTGGATACCCTAAGCAACCATAAGAACTCTGTGCCATAGCAAGGTCTCCTTTGAGTATGAAGCGATCGGACACGCGGATATTCTCGAGCACACTCTCCTCATGGGCAAATAGAGGCGTCGTTGTGAGGCCAGACGGAACGACTGCGATAGCGGTGATAGCTTTGCGGCTAGAATTAATTTATATCACCAATGAAAAACACAAAAGTAAGCTAAGAACGGCCAAGCGTTGGGTCAAAGCATGCTAAGAGGGCGTAGAAGCTTGACTGGACAGTAGCTTCCGTCAAACATGACGTAAACCAGCCACTGGCGCGCATGCTCCGCGTTTTGGCGACGCGCCACCCACTTCGAACATTGATCGCCAGAGAGAACATGTCATAAAGCGAGCGACCCGCCACCGTGAACCGGAAAAAGGTATCTTTGCATAAACTATAGAAGAGAACGCATATTTCGATGTTTCACTACCGCGCAACTCTGCACCCCCCACCCCCCACAGCACAATTCTACCTACTTTATTAAACGAACCAACAATGGCGAACGCTGACGTTGTTACATACAACATCGCAGCGTTCATCGCGACACTCTTCCTCTTAGAATTTGGTGCGGATAAGTTTATTGATCATACCGCCGTCGTCGCTCGTCGCACCGGAATATCGGAAACGGTCGTTGGGCTTCTTACTGCTGGAGGAGAATGGGAGGAGGTATGCTCGTACTTGTCCGTAGTCCTCTCCGCTACTAATGTACTAATCATATCTGATGCTATAGCTCGCTGTTGTTATTGCATCACTCGCGCGCAATCGTGGCTCTTTGGCTATCGGTAATATTGTTGGTTCTGCGGTTTCGAATATATTGGGAGCTTTCTCCCTGGGTCTCTTATTTCACGACAAGCAGCAGCCGATTGTGTTTGATCGAAGCTCACGCATATACTCTCTTGTCCTACTCGTCTTGACAACTTTTGTGACGCCGATTACGTACTTTTCAAAGAAGATCGTATGGTTGGTTGGCGGCTCCATCTTGATCGCATTCTTTGCCATCTATATTGGGTCTGTGGGGTGGGCAATCAGTAAAGGGGCTCTCACTGCTCCAGAGGACTCCGACGATAGCAGCGACGATGAGAGCAGTGGTGAAGAAAACACAGTTGGTGTTGTCGCGAGGAGAGGACCGCATCATGCTGATGCACACAGACACGAACCCAACGGGACAGCTCCTGCTGGGAACAACGAACGAACGAGCCTACTTGCACACACTGGCAGTAGCACAACGCAAAGGTCATCAGGACCAAGTCGCCGCAAGCACCAGAGTCTACGTTATCACCTATTTTATCTCTTACTTGGCTTTTTAGCCATCTGCCTCGCAGGTTACGTGCTTTCCCACGCTGCCACCACCATTACCGATGAATTCGGCATCTCAGATGTGCTTTTTGGTGTTGTGATTCTCGCAATAGCCACGACAATTCCCGAAAAGTTCGTCGCGGTGATGAGCGGGCACCGAGGCCATGCTGGAATTCTCGTCGCGAATACAGCCGGCAGTAATATATTCCTGCTTGCATTGTGCTCTGGAATCGTTATGCTCGGTACCTCAGGGAAGCTTGAACACGGCAACGTGAGCATCGCTGAATTAGGGGTTTTATGGGCCTCAACACTTGCATTTACTTTGACCGTCTGGTTTGGCGGAAGGTTTTGTCGTGAGATTGGATGGGGAATGCTGATCGCTTATGTTGCCTTTATAGTGCTGGAGTTTACAGTGATTCATTGTGTAGCTAATGGCGACTAGATACTCTGAAATGACTGACCGAGTTCTTCGTGGTGGTGCAGCGGGTATCAATGTGTATGGATCTGGATGGTCCAGCGTACTGGTTTGGTGTGTGATTTTATTTGTCGGTAGATTTTTGAGATTTCTTTCGCATTGGACGCTCGTGGACGAGTGGGTGTGCACTGGGACATAGCTGGCGCAGCTGTCGTACACAAGGCTTGAGGGAGTGTATCCTGTATGGCAAAGAGGTGGGCGACGATGTCGCTCTCACGTGGCAACACATTTGTCCCTCTCTGTCAAGTCGAAAGCGGAAGAAGCCCCTGCTTTAGTAGCGACCATGTTTTGCTTAACGCGAACCCTCTGTATGTGTCGAAGTATGTAGCAGCCTTCCATCTCTTCTTCGCGCCCCCTTAGATATCGTGCTTTTCAATTGATTACTATTGCTTCAATTGGCCACCTGAGCGTTGTTGTTGACACGCACGACTGATCGCAGACTGGCAACTATCGGTGTCGAGTAACATTCATGTCGTAGCATGCATCGGGGTTGGGCAAGTACCTTGCAACATTGTCTTCGACAGATTAACTTTCCCAGCTAGCCCTCTAAGCCTTCGATGGCTCCGCATAAAAAAAACCTCGGCAGCGAGCCTAGAATCGATTCCCCGCCTATCGCGATGGTGACCTGTCTTGGAGTCGCAAATTTGACTGTGAATGGGCCATTGCATGAACTAGGCTATATTGAGCTTTCCAGCGGCATATGCGCTGCATTAAGACATTCCTCCAGAGAACAGAAATAGCTTCCCAACCCACAACTCCAGTTCCGATTCGTGTGCCACGGCCTCGGTCTACTTCCTCGGTGTCATTACCCTAGTAGCATCGTATTGACACTAACCGAGGCTGCATGTATTCTGGTGTCGGTGTTGTCGCACTACTGGATTCAGCACGCATCACCCAAAGTCTAACAATATCTTTTCGAGCTGTCCTTGTCTGAGTGTTTCGCACAGCAGAAGCTCAACTTCATTGCTAAAACGAACTACCGAATGCGTTTCCACGCCTTACTATTTCTTGAATTTTGCGAAGCCCGCTTGTGCGGCAGCCCACCACGTCTCCTGCTGGATGCGGTTGCTTTTCGCGCTGCTTTGTGAATAGTTTATGCCACAGCGGGCCTTAGCACTGTAGCAGGCCTTACTATAGTAGCGGGCCTTAAATGCTGCGGGCCTTAGTACTGCAGCGGGCCTTACCGCGGCATCTCCCGCATCTGTTGGTGGGCCTTGACGCAGGGTCTCGCGTATCTGTCAGTACTAGTATCATCACCATAGGTTTTGTTCAACTTCATTATGCACCATATGCGAATCATGGCTAACGATAATATTATGGAACAAGATATGGAAGAATGTATGTTTCCTGCTTGATGGCTTACGTACTAGAGGTCATCTGGCGCTCGGTAAGGATTCTTTGAGGGCTATAATTATCCATACCAAAGACAATACCTGCTTAAATTGAGAACCAAGACGCACATCCTATAATGTGGAGACTCATATAAAATGCCAAGCTGGAGTAGTCGACTACTTGCAGCAATACTATACCAAGTGTTGGCCAACTCCCGTCAAGGCCCGCAGCTTCGTATAATGCTGGGGCGAATTATGCACCCAACATCCCGCTTTGAGCGATCTGGAACGCCTCAATGTAGGGCATCTTCTTCTTTTGCAATTATTCAATAGATGCAGTTGAGCACTTTTGTGGAATGCCAAAGTATAAGAGCAGGTGATTTCCTCATTCCTAAGCTCACTACCACAGCTCCAACGAATCACCTGTAGCCTACTCTCAACCACCACCTTCAATTACACTCCACCGAGTTTCAATCCCATCATCATGTATCTCAATTCTGCACTCGTGGCTTTTGCTGCCAGTATTATTGCTGTTTCCGCTACTACCGTCCCAGACGGTGTTTACATGATTACAAGATTCACCAATGGCACTGAAGTCTACACTCCCTCTGAAAACGGAGTTGCTCCCATTGTCCTCAGCGCCGAGGACCTCTCGGCAGTACGAGCCGCGAATCGACGCGACATGCTCTCATCATCTACGCTCAACACGCTGTCCAAGCGCCGCACCGATTGCTGGGGTTATCAACTCGAAGAATTTGGCATCGATAGGGCATACGAGGCCCTTGCCGAGGGGTGGGCCGGTAACGGGCAGGATGTCTGCTCAGACGTACCAGGCCAAAGAAGATACGTTGCATCATTGAGGAATCAAATGATGGTCTACTACTGCGTCAACGAATCCGGAAAATGCGGCAATTGCAACCGCGACGATGTTTATTACGCAATGGCTCAGATGGATGCTAAATGCCGCCGTTACGAAGCTTCGTGGTTTGGATGGCCAGGAAGCTTTGAGATCGTCGGCAAGGCAAGACAGGGAGATAATGTTTGCGCGGGTAACATGAACGGCGTACCTTTCTAGCCGAGCTAGTTGCTGAAGTTCGGGTAGAGTTAAGACACTACTAGTGTTAGGAGGTTGAAAGGGTATATAGCAATGAACATTCTTAATAAACTGAGCTGTAAAGTTCTTCTCATTCTTTTCATGTGATAAGGGTTCAATGTTTCTTGATATCAGACATCTTTATAATCAGGCACCTTCATGGAATCATCGAAGATTGTCTAGGGGATTGTTACCATTGATGAAAAAAAGCAAGACAGAAATGAAAATAACTCAAGACCTCCTCACATGACTGAATGGCAGAATCCTATATCAAATTACTTCTAGCCTCTACTTAGAAATGTTGCCATTCTTAACACCCTTCTTATGAAGAAAGTCATGCGCTATGCTCTCATACGTATGGAACTCGACCGAATCCCCCCAACTCCGCAGCCATCCAATGAAACGATCCGCCATGGTCATGGCGTGTGCCAGACCACTGGAGTCTGGGTGCATGAGTAGCGGGAAAATGAAGGTACCGTCATCGGACTCGGCCTCGCCGTTCTCCCACAGCCACAGAAAAATGTCCTTCCAGCGCTGCTCAACAACGCGGGCATCAACTTGTCCGTTAGTGTTGGCAACATGCGGAAAATATTGTAGTCCCATCATGTCTTCATTGTTCCAGCCAATGGGAATTTCCACAAGGGGCAGGCCAGTGGCGGGTGAGTGCAATGGCGCGGGTGGTACTACGTCCATATCGCTTATCGGCGTTGGCTTCAACCAGCTGCTCGCTGGCTTGGAAAAGTCGATACGCTCGACGGGCGGGTCGCTGGGTGTGAAGTAGGGTTGCGAGTCATGGTGGCTCAAGGATGAGTCGTACAGGAACCCAAACTCTTTGAGAAGCTCGATTGTCGTTTCGCGCAGCTGGTACATCGGAGCGCGGTATCCTTGTACCTTTCTACCGGTCAGACGCTCCGATACTTGCATGCACTTCGCCAAGACGTCGCGCTCTTGTGCCGGCGTCATCTGATAGGCGCCTTCGTGAGCGTAGCCGTGGAGTCCAATCTCCGCGCCGGATTCGACGATCTCTTTGACTGTGGATTCAAAGGTCTCCATAGTGTGCCCAGGAATGAACCATGTGACCTTGTCGGCAATCTGATATTTCTTCAGTATACGTAGTAACCGGCGGCCACCAACGCGCCCGGAGAATACACCAGTGCTGTAGTCTGCAAGGTTGTTGTCTGGATGTTCTCCCGTGCCTAGAAAAGCCGATAACGCGTCGAAGTCAAACGAAAGCGCAATCTTGACTTTCGGTTTCTTTGCTCTAAGAGGCGAGCTTATCCTAGGTTGTGTTTGAGATTGTGGGATGTTTGTGTTGTGAGATGGTGGCTTCGTGTCGTCAGACTGTGAGTTGCAAAGGGTCCAAACATCATTGAGTGAGATAACAGATCCACGCGAGCTGCTAGTTGCCAATATATTCATCGCAGAAATAATGGACAGATCAGTAGCATCGCCGCCTAAATTCTCAACGTCGAGGAAGTTGACAGAAGCGTCGCCATGGAGCCATGCAATATCCCGCTGTATTTTAGAAAGAACAACATCGAGGGATCCCTCAAAGGAAGCCTTGTAACCGAGAATGATCATAGAAAAGGGGCCAATCGAGTTGCCCTCTTTTGATCTCTTGAACTGACTTTGGAGGATTGCCTTGATCTGGGATAAGGCTCTTCTCTGATTGATCTGGGCAGCGTCATGATGCTTGTCCCACTCAGTTAGAGGCACTTCCCAAATTGGATCGCGGCCGCAGTGCTCGTGATCCCGAGCATCAACAACAACAAGATCGGCCGACCCGCTTATTGCGGCGAATGCGTCATCGATCCGAGAAGTGATTTCTGTCGAATTGTCGCTGGAGCTACGATTGTCGAGGTTCACAGCTTGAAAGCTGCTGCATGTTTCTATAGAGACCAGTCAAAAAGACTCGTATCTCTCCAGTTGGGAACCGTTAGCTGGAATACTCACTCGCCAATTCAACCTTTAGAGCTTCGGTACGAGAGTTGGAGGATCCTGAAAGAAGGATACGCTGGCTTGAGAGAAACGAAGACATCGCTTGACGGTGACTATCTTCAAGTGATTAATGAAGAATAACTCCACAGCTTGAGTTGAGTATTGGGCAGAGGTAGCAAGATACTGGGTACACCATAACAGGTGCCAAGTTGATGAAATTCTATAGCTTTTGTACTGATTCGTAGTAGAGACAGTATTCCAATCAACAATAAGAGTCGATGGATTTACAAGGAAGGTGCCAGCGAGCCAATCAAAGGAGGTTAACGCCGCGAGCTAGGGGAATACCCCAGTAAATCCGTTTTGGAAGGCGCCAGCGAGCCCATCATAGCAAGCTCGGGTTATGATCGACACCCAATAATCGTTGACAGAGTATTCCAGCAATAGATAACGACAGTGGCTCTGAAGTCTGCAATGGATTTATCCGGCAAATCTAGACAGGCCCTTTAAGCGTACGAATCGGGGTACTCTCCAAGCTACTATGCGCATGAATTACCCCAGTAGGCTTCTACACCATTACGTGGGGGACTATGTTTATCACAGTGCCCCAGAGGTTCTCGCCATTGTAATCTAGAATGAGGTCTCTACCCCACGAGGGCTTGAGACTAACCATGGAACACTCCTGATAACGAATTTCACAATTGCAAACGCATAACACGATGAAAGTGAATAAGGAAACCGCGAGCGAGGCATTTATCCTCAAACTCAGCGATACAGTTCGTCAAGTCGTAGTCGTTGTAATCAAATCACTAAAATCTGCTCGTATCAAGGCCGTTATCACAGCCATTACCTCGGGCTAGTCTCGATGCTTTATCGCATAGTCGTGTACCTAGCATAACTGGGGTTTGTTAATACTTGAAGGAGTATATAAGTACAAGCCAACGTGGGAAACCTCAACAACAAAAACTGCATTTCTTTGCACTCTACCTCTGTGCCTTTTTGATACTTCTAGAAACCCCATGCAGATGACCATGGAGCTTACGGTGTTGGAGAAAAGGCCTGAGCAGAAATCCAACGCTCATTCACAACACTCAACGGCCGATTTTGCCGAGGGCGAAATCGTTCTTGTGAGCAATGGACCGACTCTAGCGAGGAACTTTAATTTGCTAAGCGCCTGTGCGACTGGCATTACCACCGGCAACTCGTGGGCTGTGTTGGGCGCCGGTATTGTACGTAACATACCTGTGGAAACTTTCCTAGCTGGAATTAACAGTGAGGACAGGCTACATCGCTTCACAACGGTGGAGCAGCTGGGGCAATATATGAGTAGTACGTGACTCCTCTAGATCTCATTCTGACCTTCAGCGTATGGGTTCCTCAGCTAACGCCATGACTCGAATCGCAGTGCAGTTGTTTCCATCTTCTATGGCTTCATTGCGGCGTCAATCGCAGAACTTGCATCATCAATCCCATCATCAGGAGGAGGTATGTCGATCACACTTTCGCTATTTCCTGTAACTAGGGTCAAACGCATACTAATGGAGCTTCGTCTGCAGTCTACCATTGGGCGTTAGTGACGGCCGGCACCAAGTACGGTAAGATTTGTGGATGGTTTGCTGGCTGGTTGAATGGCCTGGCGTGGATGTTTGCCGTTGCTTCCAACTGCGTTATGGTCAGTAATATGGTGCTCTGGTCGTACAAGTTGTACCACCCCGAGCTGGAGCCTCAGCGATGGCACGTCTTTATCTGCTACCTCATCCTATCGTGGGGATGCTGCTTCACTGTCATTTTCGCACAGCGCTCTCTTCCACTTATCAGCCGGCTCGGATCCTTCCTCATCATTGTCGGCTTCTTTGTTACTATCATCGTCTGTGCCGTCATGCCTGGGTTGGCTGGCGGTGGGTATGCATCGAGCGAGTTTGTCTGGAAGCAGTGGAACAATAGCACCGGATATTCGAGCGACAGTTTTGTCTTCCTGGCGGGTATGCTGAATGGTGCGTATGCGGTGGGCGCCATTGATTGTGTTACCCACATCGCTGAGGAGATTCCACGGTACGTCTTGCCATTCCAGCTCTACACTACCTTTCTGACGCTAGTATTCATACAAACACCACACAGCAGAACTGGCTAACAGAAATAACTAGTCCACGAGTGAATTTGCCCAAAGCCCTCGCATGCCAAGTGGCCATAGGGTTCGTGACTGGTTTCAGCTATTTGATTGTGGTATTCTACGCCACCAGGAACCTAGAGGCGATCATCGAACTGGAAACCATCTGTCCCATTGGGGAGATGTATCTGCAAGCGACCGGCTCCAAAGGAGGAGCGGCTGGGCTGTTGATAGTCATCATTCTGCCCATCCTCTGCGCAACGGTGGGCTGCTACGTAACCGCGGGCCGCACACTCTACGCACTCGGCCGCGACGGCGCAACTCCATTTGCAAGTAAGATTGGCGCAGTCAGCTCGCGATGGCAGAGCCCGCTATACTCAACGCTAGCATGCGGCATCTTCATGACTTGCATCGGGGCAGTGTACGTGGGTTCACTGACGGCGTTCAACGCCTTCATAGGCTCGTTTGTTGTGCTGTCGACGCTGTCATACCTCCTTGCCATCCTGCCGCACTTGATGTCGGGCCGCAAGCTGATCAAGCCTGGGGCCTTCTGGATGGGCCGTTTTGGTGCCGCCGTCAACACCGTTGCCTGCCTCTATATTGCCGTTTCCATTGTCATCTATTGCTTCCCGTACAACTTGCCGACCACGGCCGAGGCGATGAACTACACCAGCGTCATCGTATCCGGTCTGGCGGTGCTCGTGGGCCTTTGGTGGATGCTGCACGGGGGAAGACACTACCAAGGCCCTGGAGTAGACTTGCAGGTATGACAGAGATAAGGTATTCAGTGTCGTTCAAATGGGCTGGATGTTCGTTTCAGCCAATGAGGAGGGGCTTGTCGGGTGATGAAGCTATCTCCGCGGTGGTTCCCATGTTGCCATTAGATGAATCTGTAGTCACTAAAGTAATCATCCATCATCAGCATCGTCTGGAGACAAAGGACCTACTCGCTGGCGCCTTCCAGAACGGGAGACCCACTTTTCGCTGTCACGGGCCCCCGCGATAAGATAGCGAATCCGGGCTGGTTTCGACTACCCCATCATTTTCTGTCAGTTGCGCTTCCCACCAATCACCAGGCTCAGGCATGTACGTACACTAGATAGCGTCAGTAAGACCCTAGATCCGCCGTGGTTTTCTCTCCACCGACCTCACATGCCACCATCCGGTATTTCTGAATGACGCATTATCCAACACATGGGCGGATTATCCGATCCCGCATGGCCCAAGTACCGTAGACTTCTCGTCACTTCCAGAATGCAAAGAGCCACAGCCAATCAGCCCGCGGCACATCTGTGATGAAGACCAGGTCGAATACTGTTCGTGCACGGCCATCCAAGTCCAAGTGTGTGACATTCACTGGGTACGAATAGAGCTTCCCCCAGAGTATTTGCAGCGTGTTCCGCAGCCGTGCATCTTACTAACAACTAGCAGCTGCTGGACTTGCCGATCCCGCAAGATAAAATGTGACGAGCGGCAGAAGAACGGGTGTGCAGTGTGTGAAAAGGCTGGCTTGGAATGCGCTGGCTACAGTGTAAACTTGTCATGGGTGACGGGCCGGGTGCAGGACCTTCAAGGTTTGCACCGGCGAAAGATCAACACAGGTCAGCCTCCAATATTTGTCTTCTCATCGGGCCTAAACGGTTGCCTTCCGAACATAGTTGATTTATTGCTAGGTGGGTCAGCATTACCACTCATGTCAGACCGCGAAACAACGAGGAAACTGTCGGCCATCAATTCCGTCGTTACACCATTGGACACGGTTCTCATTGGCCCTTTTGGCGTCTTTCAGTCCAATTACGATGACCCTATTCAAAGGACTTTAGAAAGCCCGGCGTCATCACCAGAACCAGCTGAGAGCATTGATGACGGTGGCCCTTCCACTGGACAGCTTGACAATGGGTGGGGTACAGTTGCACAGAGTCCTGACTGCATGGATTGGGACCTCTCGACTCCAGAGCTTTCAACCTTAAAAAGCAGACCAGCTCGGGAAGATTTTCAAAGTGACTTCTCGCTGCAAGAACTTGAGCCCTTTGCAGCACTCAAAGAAAGTAGGTACCAAGCATGCACATCCCAAATCGATCTGCTGGCAATGTCAGGTAAATCAAAAGCGCGCCATTTGCCTGCTCCCTTCTTCGCTCTTTCGATGCCTATGTTTAGAGACCAGGAAACATCCATGCTCATGTTCCATTATATGAACCATGTGGCTGAATTGCTACAACCGATTCTGCACTCACGCAACCCTTGGAGGACTACATATTTCCCTTTTGCCCTATCAGGGTGTCCAGAGCTTGTTCTTTGCCAACAAAACACAACTACATCTTCGCAAATATCGACCTCACTATTCCATAGTTTGCTCTCGGCTGCTGCGTTTCACCTGCGCAATACTACGGAGGGTTCTCCCAAATTCCATCAGCTGGGGCTTCAGCACCGAATCAAGGCGCTGCGTGCTCTGAACTCCGCGATTGTCCATCCCGGTGATCCGCAGCTGTACACATTGCACTTAACAGCAATGCTGTCACTAGTCACAATCGATGTACGCATCTCCCCTTGATCCACATTCAAAGACACCCCTCTCTCTGACAAATGCCCTTCTTTCCTTGACAGACCATGACTGGAGAAGACTCTGACTTCCCAATCCACCTCCAAGCATGCCGCCGACTACGCCAGCCATGCCTACAGCTAAGCATGAGCAAAAGAGACTCAAGCAACCAAGTCACCAGCATCTACCGCTTCCTCACCCTCCTCGCTCAAACAACATGCCTCGAAATCTCCCCTCGACCGTGGTCATTCGATGAACATCTTCCCGCCTCTACCCTACCACATTTCCACCCCGACGAGAGAAGCATCGAATATATATACGGAATCACACCTGAAATGGCCAACTTACTGTACAAAACGTGCCGGATCGCAGAACACCTCGCCTTCTACCGCCAGCAGGCCGGTACACCGACTCCTGCCTCTCTTCGCGCAGCGTACAAGGCACTGGGCGACGACGTTATGGCCTGGGTCATTGACGCGGAGCCTTTCCATCTCATCCAGCGCCAAGAGCGCACCATGCTTGAGATTGCGCGGTGCCAGGTCCGCGCGTTCCATAGCGCATTGCTGATATACTACCGCCGCACGGTGCTTGATGGCGACGGCATCATTGTTGATGTGGATGTTGAAGCGGAGGCAAATGCTGTCTGGGAAAACCTGACGGCAGCAGAAGACCTCAAAGATGCATATATGGGCGGTGCAAAAAGAACGGCGCCTATGTCGTGGCCGGCGTTTATTGCCACATGTGAGACGAGGAACCGCGAGCCCTGGGTTACGTGGTGGTCGCGAGTCGAGGGGTATGGCCTTGGGAATTTCTCAAGACAGTGGAGGGCTATCCAGGAGGTTTGGGGTGTTATGGATGTGGATGGGAATGTGGGGAGTTGGAGAGAGGCGTTACGCCGCCTAGGGAGATTGGTATTACCGGTCTAGTTGAGCAGGAGTGAGGGTTACTCAAGGCAGTGATCGTTAACAGATTGAAGCGGGCTTGTTCATTCAATGTATGTTATTTTTCATATGCTTATGAATCTTTTAACAGACCTTCAATTCATGGGAACGTTCTTCTTAACGGCTTCCTTGATTCGGGCTCGCTACAATCGTCTATCTAGAAGCTCACTTGCTTCCATCTGACTTGTGCTTATGTGGTTCATTCTGCCAGCCACAAAAAAAGTCCAATAACCCCTTGCTTGCTTTTCAGAATACTGATTCGACCATTCTAAAGCTCATCCTTCACCCTCGATGGCGCTGGACCCTTCTTTGACTTGGCCATGGCCGCCATAATGTCCACGATCAGGTCCGCAGCCGCAATCGACGTGATTTCGGCGGCGGTGTCATACGGAGGGCTCACTTCAACCACGTCAGCACCAACTAGATTGATGCCCTCAAGACCTTTAATGAACCGCTTGACTTCGCGCGTAGTCCACCCGCCGGATTCTGGAGTGCCTGTAGCTGGGGCGATGCTTGGATCCAGCACTATCACGAGTTAGCACAATGGCGTCTTCAAGTGCAAGAAGTAAGCAGCAGATTACGCAAGGATTAAGCGGTATCTTACCGTCAATATCGATGGATAGATATGTAGGGGTGTCCTTGACGAAGCTCAATGTCTTCTCGATGATACCGTTCATGCCAATGTCATCGATCTCGTGTGCCTCAATAATGCCGAAGCCGACATCTCTGTCAATCTCATAATCCTTGGGGCTCTGCAACAATCAGAATAGGGATCAGTACAAGCGTTCTCAGAGTTTGGGTATTGAAGAGTGCCGGCACTGACAAATAGCTTGGTTCGGAGGCCGCCATGCACACTGGTCCCTTTGCTGATGCAGCCCTCCCGGCTAGCGTGCCAAAAGAAAGTACCATGAGTAAGGGCGGACTGATTTGACCTGATACCTGTGTAGCCTTCGTAGGGGTCCCATCTGTATGCGACACGGTTAGCGCCGGTTTTTTCTAATAGCCAAGTAGAAGACATTGCTCACGTATCCAAATGCGAATCCAAGTGAATCACCGATATAGGTCCATATACAGTCTTGAGAGACCTTAAAATAGGCAAGACGATGGAATGGTCACCTCCCAAGCTGATTATGCGCGGATGTTCCCATGAGTTTACTGAAGAGGTTGGATGGTACAAGACCTGCCTGTAGCCTTGTTCCATCTGCTTGAAAGCATGGGCTGCATCAAACGGAGTGATGGGCACATCACCGCAATCGATCTGAAAGCCAAGAATATCAATAAGGTGAATCCTCTGAGTAAACAGGTTGAGCAATGGCGCTACTCATTACAGGGTTATTGGTGTGTGCGGAATGGTCCGACTTACAATAGCGAGTCCCTCTTCGTAAGGATCGACTTCCCAGACGGTGTTGTAGCTTCGTCCCTTTTTTTCCCTCGCGGAACCAGCCCGGATACCTCGAGGGCCGAATCGGGCACCTGGCCTGTAGGACGTTGATGTGTCATATGGAAATCCTAGTATGGCAATGTCCAAGGGCTTTGAGCCAGATTAGGAACTAAGCGCTGAGACGAGTTTTCCGCGTAAAGGAACGACGTACTTTGTCGTGAGACGCAGCAAGACAGCGCTGCCATTCCAGATGGGCAAATGTCACTGGCTGAGAGAAGGGGAGATCAACATCAAGGTCTACGAACGCATTAGCGTACGGATTCTAATTCATCAGTCTCTTTCGTATAGGTCCTGCAAACCTTCAATTGGGTGGCTATAGTCTGGACCAACATTGATGGCGGCCACTGCAGGGAGAATACCCGTCCAGGCGTTTGGTCGCATGCTCAACGATTTGGAGTAAGACGACGACTTTGGCTCTGGATAAGTAAGGGCGCTAAGCTGGAAGGAAGCCGTACAGAAGTCAAGATGTGGGATTTAAGGATATTGGTCATTTTTGACAAGACTCGCGATCTTTATATATGTATCAATACTTAGCTCGGTGCGGCCCAGTTCAGTTTTGATTATGCACTAAGTGTATTTGTCTAACGTGGAGGCGTTGCGGGTCTGTATCTTTACGTAGTCGAAACTGCGGCGATGAAGAGGGGCAAAAGGGCACTGATAAGAAGCTCGCAGGCGCTTTCCACGCCTACTCCAAAGGAAACAAGACCTCGCAGTCTCCTGCCGAAGCCGAGCAGCCTGCGCGCCTGCCGTCGCTGGCTGCACATGAGCACGGACGCCAGTCTCGCTGGCGGTTGCCGGATTTGGCGTCCCCAACCAAAATCGGGCAACCACGCTACTATCCTACCATCCTCCCCCACCACCCCCAATCCATCACCATCTCGCTACAGTCACGCAAAACAAGCATTGATTAAGATGCGCTTATTTAAGATGACCGACAGAGCGAAATGTATGAGCTCGGCAGCAGCAGCGTCATTATACAAGCGTCTCAGATCTTTACACGCGCTTCGTCATAACATTCTCCTGTTCTCTTGTCGCTAGGCAATGGCCATAGCAGTTGTTGCCGCTGCCGCTCTTGGCCTGGCATTCCTGCTCTACCACCTTTGTTTTTCTCTCTTTATAAGCCCTCTTGCAAAGATACCGGGTCCAAAAGCGTTTGCCTTCTCAAGATGGCGACTTGCACTGGAAGACTTCCGAGGCACACGCACACACACCATTCACGCGCTTCATAACAAGTACGGCCCCGTCGTGCGCCTCGGGCCTAGTGAAGTGTCATTTAACACCACTTCCGCTCTGCGAACCATATATGGAGCTGGCAGCGGTTTCGAGCGGACCAGCTTCTACAACATGTTTCATGTCTATGGGCGCAAGAACATGTTTTCCTTCTTCTCCGGTCGCGAGCACTCGGAGCGTAAGAAGATGTTTGCCAGTGCCTACGCTAAATCGGCCATGCTCAAAGGAGCCAACGCAGCCATAGTCGAAGCCAAGGTCCGCCATTATCTGGATCTGATTGCACGACAGCAAGGCTCGAGCGAGATATTTGCCTCACTGCACTACTTTTCTTTGGACGCCATCACCGACTTCTTGTACGGGAAATACGGGAAGACGTCCTGCTTGGAAGGCTCCAAAGCCGACTGCGCATTAGTCGATGATATAGTGGACGTTGCGCGTCGCAGACTTTCCTGGTTCGTCATCCACCTACCACGCTTCACGACATGGCTGTATTCTAGAACCGGTCTCTTCGAGAGGGTTGCCCGCTGTTTCTACCCGATGCAGCTGCCAACCACGTACACAGGCATCCGTCGCCACGCTATGGTCGCATGCCAGGAATTTGCACGTAGCTCAGCTGCCTACGACCCCTCTAAGAGCGTAGAGCATATGCCTCCATTGATCGCGAAGCTGTGGAGGCATCATCGCTCCCGACAGCCTGGTGGGCTGGACGACATTGATATTGCTTCCGAGTGCGCCGACCACCTCCTCGCTGGTATAGATACCACCAGTGACACTCTGATGTTCCTCATCTGGTCGCTCTCCCGGCCCGAGAGCTGCAAGTTCCAGCAGAAACTGATCGAAGAGGTCCGCAGCATATCCCAGGAAGGCCTCAACCCATATGGCATTCCAACCGTCGAGACCAGTGACAAACTTCCTTATGTGAATGCTGTCATCAAAGAAACTCTGCGATTGTATGCTCCCTTACCAGCCTCTGAGCCACGGGAAGCTCCTACAGCCACCGTGATTGATGGCCATCATATCCCAGCAGGAACTACAGTATCCATCTCGCCGTATATCCTACATCGGAACCCAAAAGTCTTCCCGAATCCGATGCAGTTCAACCCCGATCGTTGGATGGATCCCTCCCTGAACATTGCCGAGATGAACAGGTGGTTCTGGGCATTTTCCAGCGGAAGTAGAATGTGTATCGGTCTCCAGTACGTCATTGAATTCCTTTTGAATCCAGTATACAATTACCTGCTTGATTTGGATTTATTTACTTACTGAAATTAGCCTTGCAATGGCGGAAATGACCACGTTAGTGGCCGCTGTATATCGCAAATACACCACCACTACCGTTGGTAATTTTGATACAATTTCTCCCGGTATCACAAGCCGCTATGAACTGTTTTACGATGAAGGATGCAGCGGCGTAAAGGTGAGTTTTGGCTTCCATCACAATTGCACCAAGACGAAGGCCTTGCCCTCTTATAACATATCCTAGGAACACGAATGCCAAATCCGATTCGACACGCTGGCCGCATGAGCCTTGTACTATGCTTGAGTCTATATTTGTTGAGGGGGAAATGACCTACATGTGATTGTAACGAGCCTAGTTCGGGAACGTGGCTATATATAAGGTCAGAATTAAACATAAGACCATGCTTTATCAACTGGAAGCGCTACACCGTTGATTGCAGAACTGAGATCAGAACCCAAGAAGACGAGAACATTTGCTATCTCTTCTAGACCGATGGGGCCATTGGCGATAGGCCCGTTCTTTTGATCAAGGCTTCCCGTCGTTTCTGGCGCAAAATGGATATCAAGCACCGGCCTATTGTCAATTAGCGATTAGAATACTACGGAAGTGGGTATGACATTTATGCGGACCTCGCATTTTTCATAGCTTCTAAATCGATATCACCTGTGATTGTATTTGTGATATTGGTTCATACACCTGTTTGTTCGTAAGCATGTGCCTGGGAGAAGGGTTGATGAATTTTCCTCATACCTCCAGGACAAATAGCGATACAACGGACCCCTTTTCTGTGGTAGCGCCAGGCTACGTTCTTTGTAGCACCAATCCAATCATGTTGATCTGTTTTCAGTAGAATTTTCTCATGTTTCGCTGTTCTTCATCTCCTGTCGCACCAAGGATGACTTACGAGACCATGTTTGGCGGCGGTGTATGCCACACCACCTGATGCACCACCCAGCCCAGTCTTACTCGAAACGTTCACGATGGAACCACTCTTCTGCTTTCGCATATATGGTATCATGGCTCTCATAAGCTTGATCGGCCCTGTTAAGTCAATGTCGACTACTCGATTGTACTGAGAATCATCTAGGGTATCAACCGAACCGAGTTGATCCGACACTCCAGCAACGTTGAGCAGGACGTCGATGCGGCCATCAAAAAACCTCAGACACGCTTCTACCGTAGCATCGATGTCGGCTTGCTTTGAAACGTCGCAGCTGTGAAACAAAAAGTTGGGAAATGTTGAAATCTCGGCTGGAGGCTGTTGAATATCGCAACCAAAGACCTTAGCACCCGCACTCGAATATGCATGTACGGTGGAGAGGCCAATTTCGCTGGAGCATCCAGTAATTAGGACAACCTAGAATTGATATGAGAACTCATTTTCAACAACTTCGGGGTAGAGGTGTGTCAAATAATGGCGGACCTTGTCTTTGAGCATTGCCATGATAGCGTCTGAATGTTGGTTATAACAGCTGGGTGAAAAGTAGTGCAATTCTGATTTATATGCTAAATCGAACTGTTGTTTGGAGGCATCATTTCAGTGCCACAGCTGGTGAATAAATAGTTGCGTAGTCATACTCCGGGTCGAAGCGGGCTAGGAGTATTTGCATGCTGTCGCAAATGCTCTGTCACATAACATGGCGTCAGGAAACTAAGTCGGAAGCATTGGATTCAGATTGTGGTTGCCGAGGATACTTCATGAAGTGAAACATTATAGCCGTCACCCGAAGAAAACCTGCTGTAGGAGACATAGACAGCCCGAATGCTCGTCGGACCGACCGGAACTTCGCTATGCGGCCTGCCAATTCCAATAGCCTCAGAGTACAATAGTAAAGGTAATAGACTATTACTTACCCCGCAATCGGGGCACGGAATCGCTCCTTTCCCCAGCAATTCTACTTTTCCCCACAATTGGAATGTGGGGTCGAGCCTCCCCTGCTGGCGCCATCCTCAAATTCACTCCTCACTCACTCTCCAGGCCCTTATCGTACCGGAAATCTCATACTTTTGACTTGAGTGAATGCTTGATAGACTGCTTTCTCAAGTTCTTTGTGTAATGATGCCGCTCCATGATCGCCAGGAGGAAGATACTGAAAAAATACTATGCCAGCGATACCAGACTAAGGATCCGCCCAGTAGCTACTATCAAAGCCGAAAAATATAGTGCTATTGTACGAGACTTACCCAGAGGTGACATGGCATCCCGATGTACTGGAGACTATCCTTTTTCGTGCTGACTTTGCACAACATAAGCTAATTTACTGAACACGAGCGCTGTAAGCACTAGTATCACGGCCAAAATTGAACATGAAGGCATCAAGATGTAATCACGCTTGCATACTCGATCTTTGGAAGATTTTCAGAGGATGTATATCCATCGTGAAACCCCTCAATCAGAGCAATCGACACTCAGCTGCCCCAGAGCTCGATCCAAATTCGATAATAACAGCTCAAGCACCGAAGATGAAATTTCTTTTTCTTGCCACACTCATAGGCCTCGCCTACCCCACCTTAGCTGCAGACAACATGGCAGTTAACAGCCTAGAAGAACGTGGAGCGCCATGCTGCGCATGGAACGGTAAACAATGGGTTGGTCCTAGTGGTTGCGTGGGTTGCTACGGCAAAGTCCCGGACGCCGTTTAGTTAGGTAAGAGAACGGCGATCTAACTCTGTGAGTATGATTTACACCGTGGAACATTTCCCACCTCTATAAGCTAATATAACATCAAGCTTAATTCGATCTATATGTATAGGGTATTTATAACTATCTACAGAGGTGGCTTTCAAAAGTTATTGCTGACAGGGATAATCGGTATCACTACCGAAGTACTACCAGAGCTGATCGGATCTGTCCTTCCGCCCGTCCTTATACTCATTTCCGCCATCAAGTCGAATTATTTCTTTAATATGAAATGGAATCCTTTCTATCCAAGCTTGTATTTAATGTTGAGGTAGCTCCTGCCACCAGTGTAGCCATGCCTTTGCCCCTTCTACTCTATTTTTTAGTGCTCCTTTGCTCATTGTTCACCTTTTAAGCTATGCCTAAGTTAGCTTAATAGAAAAGGAGATTTTACTGTAACGATCGAGGCACGCGTACAGATATTAGTATTCTAAGTCATTTTTCATCTAAAAACTCCAAAAAATGGGTGGATATCTGCTCCTCTAGCTTCAAAAAAATCAGTGTAGATGCTAAGACAGTCGGGCCGATAGATATCCCTGTCAGTAATAACTTTCGAAAGCCACCTCTGTACACCACGAGTTATTACTATAGTACATGGCACAAGTTTTGTCTGTGGAGACCAGGATAACGACTTGGTTCTTCTTTGGATCATTCTTTACCTAATTTATTATAGAGAAATTTCATAATGTCTCTAATAATTATAAGTCTAATTAGTTATAGATCGTACTCTTTATAGTATAGCTCATGCTCTCGACCCCAGCTGCATCGTCCCCTTGCTAGAGGACGACACACAAAACTTCTGCCATGTGCCACAGTAATCTCGAAAGAGTAATCGCTTACAAAATCGATCATATTCTTGATTTCTCAACAAACAAATAGCGAATGAGAAATTGGTGCAGAACATCGCATGCGAGGGCCGATTGGGCTTTTTGCTTCCAAACCCGAGATCTTCCCGACGCTGTTGTCTTAAAAGGAAGGACGTACAGGACGGCAAAATGACGTAGACATATTAGCCCGGCGAGCTTAAGGACAATTTCTCCGCCCTTCCCCGCACGGTAGACGTTAACCGAGTTCTCCCATCCTGAGAAAAGTCGTGGCAGTGTAGCACGGCAAGCAGGTTTGCAGTTGCTTGGAGCACGCGTGCGTTACTAGCGCGAGCGCAATGACCCTTTAATAGAGACAGAAGCCTTTACTTGACTCCCCCACCTATCTTTGTCAATATCGACTGTCCTAGAACCATGGCGTATGGAATCAGTACCTGCCAGCAATTAGCCACAACCCTCAATTTACTTCCCGGGATTTCTGTGTTGAACACAACATATATTACGAATGGCACTCCAATTGCGCTCGCCGACCTCGTGCCTTCATGTGCCAATGCAGCAAGCTATAATTTGGCTACCGCGACAACAGATATGTGCCGAGTAATCGTAAACGCCAGTTCAAGTGCATCTAGCACCGTTCGTATCGAAGCCTGGCTACCAGATAAGTGGAATGGACGGTTCTTAGCGACAGGAAATGGCGGTACCGGTGGTTGCATCGACTACGGCAATCTACAGAACGGTGCCAGTTTCGGCTTTGCTACATTTGGCACAAACGGGGGACATGACGGACAGTCTGGCTATGACTTCTTCCTCAACAAGCCCGAGAATATCAATGACTTTGGATATCGCGCGATTCACGTCGAAGCGGAGACAGGAAAGCAAGTGGTTGAGCAATATTATGGTCGCAAGGCAGATTACAACTATTACTCGGGTTGTAGTACTGGCGGACGTCAGGGATTCGAAGAGGCGATACTGTACCCTGAAGACTTCGACGGAATTCTTATCGGAGCAGTGGCTGTAGACTGGCTCCGTATTGTGGCGTCGAAGGGTCTTCTGGCTCGACGCCTTGGCTGGCCAAACCTCGAGTCTTCCAGCTACGTTTCTGCCGCGCAATGGGCAGCGATTGTTGCTGCACAAGTTGACTTGCTAGACCCTCTAGATGGTGTCAAAGATGGGATCATCGACAACCCGACGCTCCATAATTTCGACCCATCGCTGCTTGCTTGTGGCACCGGCGTGCTGAATTCGTCACTCTGCTTGACTGCGGCGCAAGTCAGCACGGTGCGTGAAATCTACCAGCCTCTTGCCAATACCTCGGGTCATGTTGTATATCCATCTTTTGAAGTAGGCGTGCCCACTGGTGTATTTTCCGCTAATACTGAAGTCGTGAATGGAACGACAATGCCACGGCTCACATACGGTTTGGTTGATGACTTTTGGCGCGGTGCAGTCTACAATGACACTTCATTCTCAGTACTCAACTTCACCACAAAAGATATGGATTTCGCCACCAATCTGAATCCTGGGGGGATCAACATTGCAGGTGGCATATCGCACGATGTCTCCGCATACCACAAGAGGGGCGGAAAACTCCTGGCATACCACGGTCGCGCTGATCCAACCGTCATGTCAGGTCTGGCATCGCGCACTTTCCAGAAAACAGCCGAGGCATTAGATCTAACAACCAAAGAAATGCACGAGTTTTATCGCCTTTTTTATATTCCAGGCATGGGCCATTGCGCCGGTGGGAATGGACAGTGGTCGATAGGTCAGCCGCAAATTGACCGACCTACTGGAGCCGAGTTCAACAATTCGCAGCATAACATCCTTCTCGCCATGGTGGAGTGGGTGGAAAAGGACCGTGCTCCCGTCACGTTGATTGGAACAAAGTACGTGAACGATACGGTGGCGAATGGAGTGATAGAGAGTCAAAGAACCCACTGTGTATATCCAAATGCGAGCCGCTGGGACGGTAGTGGTGATACGAAGGAAGCCGGGAGCTGGAGATGTCAACTAGAAGGCATTGTGTGAGGAACCTGATTTGGGATTAAGTAACTCCCAATCGTAACGAATATCGAAGAAGGTGTTGTAGTGATTCCTAATTAGAAGGTCATGCTCTACCTTCATTACGCTGGTGCTTTGTCCCCGACTATGATCATCCTCAATTCAATCCGCTGGCCTTTTTCTACAACAACATTAGCATACGAAATGTTTCCATCTCACCAATCACTGCACTTAGCAGCCTCTGCTACATCTACCTCTCATCCCTAAGAAAGCTCAAGGAAACCGAGAGACTCACCATCATCCAGCTTCGCCATATCAGCATGCCCAACCAAAATCTTTCCATTATCCCCCCGATATGCCAAAAATGTGCCTCGCGCCATACTCCCCATGACCCGGGTGTCACCCTCTACATTTTTCGTCACAATCCACCCAAACGATACACTCGTCCAACTCTCCCTGAAATCAGTCTTGAGTGCCTTATAACTTGAGAACAACAGCGGGGACGGATCCCAATTCAGCTTGATCAACTCCAGGTCAGTATCGCTTCCGCCCAGGGTATAGTTGTAGACAGTATGTTTTTCAATAAACTTGTGCCAGGCGCAGCTCCAAGCCCCGCTTTTGGGGGATTGCGAAGCGGGTTGGTAGATGGGTATAAAGCCGACAGCATAGAAGATGTCGGGATGGATTGTGACATTGCGGATATTTAGATATCCGGTGGGATTGTCGAGGGTGAGGAAGTGATTTGTTATATTAAGGGAGGAGGGAGCACTGGGGTTGGGGAATCAGCGAGTGAGCGATTGGCAGAATCAAAGTGACCGTGAAGTAGCAACTGTAACGTACGATGCGACTTGGAAAGCGACGATTTTTTTGTCATATGTGTCTTCTGTGACTGAGAAACCATCATAGTTCTTTTCGCAGGATGCGGGAACTTCAGCTGTGATCCTGCGGGCTTGCAGAACTGATAGGAGGAGATAAATTAGTGGGCGAAACATGATGCCGTTTCTGAATCACGGTAGTGATGAATAAAAGAGTTTCAAGAACTAGCTTCAAAATGTACTTTTCAGAATGGATGAGGACATATATAACCGATTTCTCGTGCAGCAGTCCGCATGTGGATATACACTAGGATGGGTGCCTAATGAACAAAAATGACCAAGACCTCTGCACGATAGATTGCATGTACTATCCATGGTTAAATGCCACAGGTGGCCTTACGATTGCAGCCCGTGATAGGTATTTGCTGGCCAGAACAGTGGATTTCTAATATTAGTCCCACATATCTGGGGAGGCCTAGTTCACGCCTTGCATGAGTTAAGGTATGAACTGCACTGAAACAGGTATAGCGTCAGAGTGTCGTGCCGCATATAGCCATTTTGTACACTTTAAACAGCGAGATTTAACCTCCCCCCCCCCTCCTCAAGACACTTAGAGGATATCATTCGAGTTGTTGTTGTTTGGACACAGCGGCTTCTAGGAGCGAGAAAACGGTTAGCTGTGGCTTTTCCCATCTATCATACTTGAACAATGGCTGCTCCTGGTTACATACCCTCAGAATTTTGAGTAGGGTAGGGTTAGAGCCAGGCTGATGTCCCGGCTGGTAGATTTTAAGCCAATCACTGGAACTATCGTAGTCGCGAACATTGCCGGGAGCTTTTGAGAGCAAAATCTGATAAGAAAGAGTCATTACAATGAGGAGATATGCTAACATGGCCGTAACGCAATCACATCTGGACGGGGCCTGGATGGGAGGACTATGTGTTGGTATATACTTGGACACCAATAAAATCTTGGCCCGCCTAGACTTTGCAAATTTCCGGCTAAGTGCAGTGATTTATGGAGCCATTGTTGTAGTGGAGTTCTTCGCTGTTAATGAATCTGCCTCTACCCCATGGATGCTGGAAACCGTTGTCGTGCTCGCAGTCATACTAGTGTACACCGGTAGCTTGGTCATTGATCATAGAGTGAGAGAAGTAATTGTGCACTCAAGTGAGGTGGCACAAATGCTCGAGGAGGCTGATGGCCAGCAGCATCTTCATTGTCCCTTGGTACTTAAAATTGGATTGATTTGTGAGAGTCTTGAATCTTGTACCAACGTAAGAAAATCTTTAAATAGACTTGCCAAGAATCCAGTAAGACTAAGAATCTTTATAATCCCGTAATACTCGTCGAGACCTTACCAGCCGGGAAGAATTGTGAGTTTTGATAAGCCATTGAAGGAGATTGAATTTGCGAAGTCATCGTACGGCGATATCAAGTGACCCCATGGGTACTCTAGTGTTTGATTTGGGTGTATTATACAACATGAATTTAGAAGCAGAGAGAGTAGAAGTGAGAAGGGGGTGGACTCTGCATATTCAACGCTAATGCATTGACTTCTGTCCCTACCAGCTGGCCAGTTCAAGCAAAATCGCGGAATGATCGCAACAAGACATAGCCAAATTCTTTCCTTCTAAATTCAAGTGCGTGATTTCTATCACATCATGCCAACCTAGAGGAGGTCTTCCGTCAAAAAAGCGCCGCTATGCGCTTGGCGAACCATTCACTACATATGCACACATACCAGGCCTATAAAATCGCTGATCAACGTAATAGCAAGTACGGGCCGTTGGCCCACGTTATTCTCGAACCACCTGTTTGGAAGAATACTTCACTTGGGTTTCTCGCTTGTTGCAATATTTGGGAATGCTATACTGTACTTATTTCGTATATCATGACCTCTATACGTACGGAAGCGACGGTAGTGTCCGGGAGTAGCCCGGCTATAACTTGATTTTCTGATATATGTCAATGAACAACGAATTACATTTGTTCTAGATTCCCGTTACCAGCAAAACCATAACAACCAAAATAGCCAAGAGATTGTGCCAACATATGGAATATGTCCATTCCATTCAGTACGAAGTAAGCTTTGTAGTTCTACCGTGAAGCGAGTTGTAGTCTCGCGCCCAAGTACCCTGTTTCCTGACACTAACTTTTGCCTATTCCTGCTAGAGGGGTTCAAATGAGTATCTGGGCAAAAGAGAGATGCTAGGTTTTGGCGAATGCGTTTTCCCCCCTCTCGTACTTTTTCATAAGCTTATACGTGTGTTATAGAGGTAAATATATAGAAGAGAGAGTAATCTAGTCAAACTCCAACATCAGTTCCAGCTGATTGAACATCTAGAACTGATTGAAGAATCCCCAAATCTCATCTGGAATATAGCTGCGAGCGCCACTGTCACCCCCACCGTCCACAGGTGCAGGCGCATGTCCACCATCGAACGCAAGCCATGTGACTGGATACCCAGACTTGCAGCCAGAGTATTTCGTTGTTACATGTGTCTTACTACCGGCCGCGGGCTCCTTGGGGCTCTGGCTTGTGCAACCATTGTTCTTAACGAACCTATCACGTAATGCCCGGCCGCCAGCAATATTCAGTGTCCCATCACTGATGCCATGAATCCCAAGGTACGCGACAGGATCATTTCCACCGTTACATCCGCTTATCTGCCCTCCAGAGATAACAGCAACTGCGCGAAAGTCTTTAGCGCGGGAGCATGCAATGGAAAAAGACATCGATCCGCCGTACGAAAAGCCCGTGGCGAATCTTTTTGTTGTGTCAACGCAAAGGTCTGCCTCGATTGAGTTCCTCATCGCGTCGAGAAATGCGATATCCTCCCCACCGCTGTTCGGCCAACCGTTATTCAGACCCTGTGGCGCAACCAGGATAGCACCCTCGTTAGACTTTTTCTGCATGCCATAATATGCCCATAGAGCACCGTCAGATCCGCCACTGGAGACGTCTCGCATGGTGCCACCATTCCAATGAAAGGCGAAAATCAACTTGTAGGGCTTGCTCTTGTCGTATCCAGAAGGCACACGAATGGTGTATTGACGGTTCTTCCCATTGACGTTGATATTCTTAACGCCCGACGTTAGTGTGGGTGTCTTTCCGCATCCAGCTGAGTTTGCGCGTTTCGTAAGACCATGTGTAGCGTCAAAGCTAGTTGTTGGCAACTCAGAGACGGCCGCTTTCTTGTATGAGTGTTGCATTCTTTCATATAGGTTGTCTGATGGCGAGACTTACAATCCTGGTAGTATCCCGGTGCGCCCAACACTGAGGCTGCACCCATGAGCAGGGCTCCAGCGAGAGATGTGAGATATAGCATTTTGGTCCGTTAAGAGATATATCAACACCTCTCCTCATGAGAGATAACTCCATATTATATACACCCAGTACTTGTGAATCTAGAACCTCATCACCTGATGCACCATCCACCTTCGCCCAGCCGGTCAGGAGTAACAGTAAAGCACGGTAGTCTTCCGGCTCAAAGCCTTGCGCACGATGTCCGGGAAACAAGCGTTTAACACCAATCAGTTTCACTGTGGGGCAAGCCTAGGCTTCCTACTCCGCAGTTACGAAATTCTCCGTCATGCACGTTGTTTCATCATCCTCCGATGCCCGTGCGCTAGCTATTTTTGTGTGGGCGTAAACCCTTCCTAGCAATCGCCCTGCTCTGGTTTTCCCCGCAGCTTTGATTGTTGCAATCTCGGGGAATTCGTACTACTACCGGTATATTAACTCAAGACAATGCGAATTCTCCACGCGCATTGTACTTATAAAAACTGGGGTAAACCAGGACGACGTTTCAGACCCATACGCAGTTTCAATCGCCAGTTTTTGACTAATAATGAAGCTACTCTAGATTGGCCTCGCTTGGCACAGCTTGGTACCAAGCATGCCGTTGTTCTCATATTGATTTCCTCCACGCTCGGACAACCAACAAGGGCTGGATAGATAGTGTTGATATTGTTGAAACGACACCAGGCCAGACCAAGAGGACATAGCAGTTCAGTGTGTATTACCCGCAGACATGGATCCGCAGGCGTCCAGACCAAAGCAGCATATTGGCATGCTCGCTCCACCGATCCACACCGTTCTCAACGGCTATCTATAGTATTAAAGACGAAGGGTATAAGGTATAAGCCTAACTCCCGATTGGAACACCGAACCCTCAAGTCTTCAATGATTGAGAGAATTAGGTTAGATCTACGCCTGGGCAGTACTCGTGCTTGAGCCTTGAGACCCATTCCTTGATCGTTATGAGTTCCTTGCCGACCTGTATCTGATCCTGGGTATGATGCGCAACGGCTTCAGGGTTCCACTCCGGGATGTGTAAGAAATCATGACCCTTCTTGCATACTCTCCAATTGAGAGTGTCATTGAGAAGCTCATAGTAGCATTTCTTATCAAACTTCGTGTCGATGCACTTTTGACAGTAGTACATTTCACTCGCGAATGTCCAGTGATGTCCACAGTTGTCGTCACAGGTCACTCCCCAAAGCGGACTGAACTCAGCTTACCGCTTCAGTTCCTGGCCGCGGTGGCTTGCGGTACCTCGATGACTGTTGTCGTCTGAGTCTGAGTCTGAGTCGGGGTCTGAGTCTGAGTCTGTTGATAATTCGCTGCGTCGATACGGTCGAATCATCGTCCAGGCTGCAAGCGCGTTGGTCGTATCAATGGAGGATAGCACTTGAGCGAGGAGCTTGAAGCCATACCAATCATTATCCGGTACTCGGCCCCAACGGTTCCATATGGAAAATTTCAAAAAATTGGCCGTGCGTTGCACGGCCCGCCCACCCCAAGGGAAATGCCCACCCCAAGGGCAATAAAATACTTTAGTCGCAAATTTTGGTGTATTTATATAAGAATTTTAGACAGAATAATTTACTAATTCTTAAAGCTATATTTTAAGACGCTCCCTAGTCATTTTGACTACAGCTACTATATACGTCGCTGTTGTAGTCGCGATCATAGTCACTACTACCTGCGCA